AACTTGTAGACACATCTTGCTATTAATATTGGATTTATACTTCACTGCAAAGGAAAGCAACAGGCAGGAATGTATCAGGAAAAGTGTTTTGTTCAGGAACCCAAATTGGCTTTAAAACTTAATCTGCAGCTCTACATGCTGGTGATTTGGGATTTGCTGACAGTTAACTTCATGCTGTTTTTGGTTTTCTAACCAAATGTTGTGCAGTCAAAATTAGGCTCCCTTAAAGAGTGCATTTTCCCACTTGGTCATTAGGGCTGCAGGCTTTAATTGCTTTAATAGCAGATTAATCAACTAATGACTTTAATCAGCAGAGGCCATCTTTAATTAAGGAGGGCTAGGACTTTTATCAGGCTATCTGATTATGTTTTCTGAGCCAAACTTAGTTTACAGGGGATGAAAAAATGAGAAAATGCCTCTTGTTCAGAAATATAGGATAGTTTCTGTTTAGGTTGTTTATGATTAATGATTGTAACTATGATTTATGATCTGTAACCTATCACTTTGCTGTTTGTATGTACACTGAGAGCTTATGCACCATTCCTTGTGTGTCCAATCACACTTGGCCAATAAAGCTATTCTATTCTATTCTATTCTATTCTATTCTATTCTATTCTATTCTATTCTATTCTATTCTATTCTACAGTATTCTGCATTCTATTCTATTCTAGTCTAGTCTAGTCTATTCTAGTCTATTCAGGATCCACCTCTTCCTTCTGTTTATTAATGGCACACAGTGATGTTTAGAGAGGAAAACTGAATTAAAAATGTGGAAGCTGGACTTTTCAGGAAAAGGTTTTGGATGGTGTTGAGTCGATGGGATTCCAGGGAGCAGCCCAGAAAAAGAGCTCGGAATTCTTTTAACACAGAGAAATTGAATATTGTTGTGATCTCCACTAGATCTACCAGATTCCTCCAGGCCTTGAGAGCTTTACAAACAGGGCCTGAGGAGGAGAATTACTGAACCAGCCTCCTTGGGCCCTTAGTAGAGTCTCTGGTGGAGATGCTCATGCAGAGATGCCCAGTAGATTCGTGGAATTGCCAAGAAATGTTTTGTGTCCGCTTTCTTAGGCCTGTCTAAGTGAGGCTGGCATCACGGCCAGGTGGGACTTATGCTGCCACCACCACAAACAGGGACCCTTTGGGGGAACCAGTCAAAGCCTCCAAGGGGGGCTATTCTTGACTCACAGCCCCCGCCGCACACCTTGCCGGTTGATGAGTCTCCTCTGAGCTCAAAGGAGCTGCCCATGGCAGGTCTCTTTATTTTAATCGGACATAAACACATTTAAACACACATGTAATTGAAAGCACAGCAAGAACTGGGCAAGTGCTGCTTTGAACCAGGAGGGAGGAAGGGCAAAGCAGAAGCAACTTGGAGAAAGTCTGGTTTAATCACCTCCAGGTCTCTTTAAGCTGAACGGGAAAGCCATGTTCTTGGACTTCCTTCCAGCCTCAAGAGAAACAGATAATCTGAGGGCTGGAGCCAGCAAATGAGGGACAGGGCACCAAGTGGGCCATTTTCTAAACACAGGGCACATGCAACCTGCAAAATCAGAATGAAGAAGCAGAAAGTTACAAAATGTCACCTGTCTGAGATGATATAGGTTCTCCTGCTTGAGCAAGGGGCTAGACTAGAAGACCTCCAAGGTCCCTTCCAGCTCTATTCTATTCTAAAATCTGGGCAAGAGAAGGACACTAAGGTTCAACTGTGAGGTTTATGCACATATAGGATCAGATTCTAAACCTATGTCTTTCCTAGGAGCTGATTGTCTTCCAAGTTAGGATTCTTTGGGTCTGCAATGAAGTATCTTCCTTCCTCAGATCCATTCTATATCCTTTGAGAGTGCTGAATTTGAGAGAAGGAATCATTTTGGAGCAACCCACCCAAAGAGTCAAAACGTAAATCTACATTTATCTACAGGGACCCCGATGCATTTCCCTGGCACCACAACATTGAACATTTGCCCAGATTCATTCTGACTCCCTTGGCTATTGCTCCTTGGAAAGAAGGGGGGCTTCCTGGGTGGAATTTTGCCAGGAGGAAAATGCAAAAAAAAGCCAATTCTTTCCAGAGATGCCAACCTCTGCCAAACAGAAGAATAGATACAGTAATCATCAGGTCGGAAGAGAAATCAGCCCTGGGAGGACTGGGACAGCCTGGCTAAGGAGCAGAAGGGGCCAAGGAGGCTTCTTTGGGAGAGTGGAGACTTTGCCTTTATGAGGAGAGGCGGAAGGAAAGAAGGAAGGCTAGTGTGTGTGTGTGTGTGTGTGTGTGTGTGTGTGTGTGTGCGCGCGCGCGCGCGCACATGCGTGCACACTCACAAAAAGAAGAACAGAACCCCATGGATGAAATGATATTTTCAGGAAGGGAGTCATAGCAACTGCACTACATCGTTCCAACAAGAAATGGAAAAAAGAATAGATCGCTTGGATTCTTTGGGCCAGCTGTAGCAGCTTCTGGAAACCTTTGTTCTCCTTTGCCCAGGCTGGTGGAGATGGGGACAGAGGCTGGGGGAGGGAGCTTTGCTGCATTTGAAGTCACAGCAGGCAGCCGAAAGGGATCCACACTGCCCTTCTGGACTTGCCAAAACCAAGGGAAGGGGCCATCCTTATGGAAGGAAGGGGAACTGGGGGGGGGGGAATTGGGGGGGGGGTGTTCACGTTGCCTCCCCGTACCCAGGGACAGAGCTCTGCCCTTCATGCAGAGCTGGGAGACCAATCAATTCCATGGTCCAGTTGCAGATGATGTGGAAGAGATGTACAAAATGACTCCAGCTAGGAGATGTTAAAGACGAAATGGACAATAGAAGTTCCCATCCCAGCACCCTTGTGCCGTTCCACGCTGTAATTGCTTCAGCAGAGAATGATCTGGTCCAGGGTGAAGGCTTCAGGCTCCGGACCAGGAGGCAGTTCCAGTCCCACCGTAGTCGGGGAAGCCAGCTGGGGGACTTTGGGCCAGTCCTTCTCTGGGTTGCTTTTGTGGGGATAATAGGAGGAGGAAGGAGCATTCGATAGGGTCACTGTATCTATTCTTCTGTTATTTATACAAATAGGAAAGATAAGAAACAAACAAACAAACAAACAGGAAAAGAATATTCTAGAACCAGCAAATTACCAAAAAAAAACCCCAAATGATCAAAGGGCTGGAATTCTTGTGAGAAAAGATGAGGAAATTTGGAAAATTTTCCTTTCCAAAAGGGGGAGAAAGTGTATGTGATAGGAAGAAATATAATGGAAATGTAAATAATACATGATAGAAAGTGGAGAAAAACTTTTTTTCATAGTTGAGGGAAGCTGAATGCTGGGAGATTGCATGACAGATTGTTTTAATTAGTTGCTTTTAAAATGCTGTTAAGTTGCTTTCCTGTGCTTTTGTGGTGCACGTTAGGATAATTTTTAACAGACATTTCTTCTTTGAGGAGTAGGCAAAAGATAAATATTTTAAAAGAAAAGAGAAAAAGAAAAGAGGCAGCATTTTCACGTGGCATCTAGCTAAATTTTATGCAATTGACTGTCATCGGGCAGCCTGAAAAAGGCATTGGCCAAAGGAAGAGATAGGCCCTTCCACCCCTTTGGGAACATTTGCTGGGGAGCACAGGGGACACTGGCAACTTCGGTCCCACCGTTGACAGCTGGTTGCCTCTCAGGGGGCAAAACAGTGGACTTGCTGGACCTTTGGGCTGATCCAGCAGGTCTCACCCCCTATTTTCCTAGTCAGTAATATCAGCCATACAGTAGATGCTTAAGAGAACGTGGGATCTGTCTGTTTTTTTGTGTGTGTGTCTGTGCTGGTCAGCGCTGTTATGTAAAGGTGACACAAGTGGCCTATAGAATTTGATCTAGGTGTATCAAACCAGATAAGTCTTTGGATTTTGGCCTAATTCCTATTCAGAGGGAGATGTTTCTTGAATTGAGAGCAAGCCACAGATGAAGCCCTGGTTCCAGCCTGTACCACTCTGCCTGGGCTCCTGCCCCAGGACCTGACAGTCCAGTAAGGAAGTCCCCAGATCACGACAAATTGTCCATTGGGTGCCTGCCCCTCCTTTGTGGACTCTGTCTGCTTCTCTCTGTTGCATGTGCCGAGTCACTTGGGGTATTTGGGAAAGAAGCTCCTTACAGGAGGATGGCATATTTTATTACAGCTTTGCTGTACTTTTCAAAGCGACGGCATCTCCCTTATCATCAGAAGCCCCACAGCCAGGCTAGCTTCATACAGATGTGGCCACGGAGACAGTTGAATCACCCCCCAGCTGGATCTGTTGTGGGGAAGGAAATTGACAGTTCAGCATGGCAAGATTGAACTCATCAAGCCCTGAACATGTGGCTATTTGAGCCTGTCTGGCCCCACCCTCCTCCCTGTAACGCCTTGCATGTCTTCTTCCTGGGGTGTTTGATGAGCATAAACGGAAGGGGGTGCTTTTAATCTCTGTACAGATTCCTCCAAAGGTGAGCCGTTGCCCTCCTCCCCCTCTCCTGGTGCAAATTGGGAGAAACCTTGCAAGGGGACGTGCTGCTAAGTGGACCGGCTCTTTCCCTTGGAAGGCTGTCATCTATCGGTTCCTCCCTGCTCGAATTCCCGGGCTACCCACGGGCGCTGCTGCCCTTGGCCTGGCAGCCTCTCCCAAAGGGGGTCCGGGAGGGCTCTCTTCCCCGGGAAGGATGGGGGCAGAGTTCCCCTACTCAGCCAGGCTCCCTCCTCGCCCGCCTCGCTCTCCTTCCGCCTCCAACCAGCCGAGACACACGCAGGGGGGCGTCTGCGGGGGGAGGCGGGGGGGGGCTCACCGAGCGCTTCCTTCCTCGGCGTGCAGGGGGCCGACGCCAACTGGGGCTGGGCAGCCCGAGCCAGCCCGAAAGGCTCCCGTCCCCTTCACAGCCCGTCGCTCTCCGGCTCAGCTAAACGCGGGAGGGGCCGGCTGAAGACTCCCCCCTCCGCCCGTAGGGCGCGCACATCTCCAGGCCAGGCGAGGGCGGTGTGACGGCCGGGGATGGTGGGAGGAAGCCGGACTGGGCTCGGCGGGGAGGGCGGGGGCGCCGCGGTGTGGCCAGACTCCGGGGCTCCCCCCTTCGCCCTCTGGCTCCCGTGAATGGAGCCGCCCGCCTGATGGGCGAGGAGGCGGCGCGTTTGCCGCTTGCAGAGACCCAGCGCCGCCGCCCATCGGCCGCCTCGCTCTAGATTTGCCTCGCCGGAGCCGAGCCGCTTCCCAGAAACTTTCCCCGGGCCCGGGAGAAGCCCCCGCCCGCTCCCCTACCGGTCCCCGGGGCCCCTCGGAGCTGCCGCCGCCGCTGGCCAGGAGGAGCCGGGGGAGCCAGGCGGCCGCGGCGGGAGCTCTCCGTGGTGCTGGAATGTCCGCGCGGGTTCTGGGCGGCCGGGCGGCCGGGGCGTGGGGCCGGCCGGCGTCGTGGTGATCGGCGGCGCCCCGGGCTCCCTCGGCTTTTCCCTCCCCATGCGGGGTCTGGACCTCCGGGGCTGAAGCGGCCCTCCTTTCCATGTGGCTGCACCATGGACTCGCGCTGGAGGAGGATGGCAGATCCGCTCCTCTACATCAACGCAGCCTTCCTGGCTTATTTCAGCTGTGCCAGCCTGTCCTGGGCAGATGCAGGTAAGAGGGCGCGGGTGGGGGAGGGGGGCTGGCGGTGGAGAGCAGGTTTTGTTCTGTTCTTGGCGGTTTAATTGCCCCGAACCTTCCCGACCTCTGGTGTTGCTCCGTGTTTGAACATCTCTCAGCCAACTGCTTCGCTGGCTGGGGCACCATCTATCTGATAAGCTGAGTTGAGGAGACTCAACAAAGAAGTATTTGTGGTGGTGGCATAAGACAACACGTTTCATTTGTGGCACTCACTGCTGCATGTTTCTGGAACGATGAATAACACTCTATTGGGAATGTGCCATTTAGAGACGTTTTGTAAAAAAGAAAAGAAAGCCATTTGTGTAATAGGTTTAAGCAGACCTCATAAGAGTGCACAGAGCCCAAGGAGACATTACTGACTGGCTGCTGATTGCTGTGAGATTTGGCCTCCTTACTGAATTCTATTTATTCAACTGGGCTGGAGAGAAAGGAGCCAATCAGCGGCCCGGGTGACTGTCCTTCAAGTCAGCCAAGTGATTCATTGAGAGATCATAGGAAGCCGTCTCATGTGAAGACAGTCGACTCCTTGCCTCGCTCAGGAAGGAATTGCCACTCACTGGACCTTTACTTGGCCCAGGGTGGTTCTTCTCATGTTATCAGAAAGCCCCCAGCTCTGAACAGGATTCCTAAAATATGGGGAGAGACGTGGCAGATATCTGTTAACAGTGATTTCCTCAGAACCAAACTTTGGACAGCAGGGTAGTCAAATCAGATATTATTAGGCAAGTAGACAACACCAGCGGGAGTGAAATAAGTCCCCCAATAACATTAAGTGATTTTCCAGATTACTAGCAACACAGGTCTGCAGATGGAGCGCCCTTCTGCATCCCCCATCTTTCTCAATAATGGAGCTGCTCTCTGTGGGGAGGGGTTAGGAAACCAATACAAACCTGTAGGTCAGGGGTGTCCAACTCGCAATGTCATGTGATGTGTCGAGGTGTATCTTGACTTTTATGCCATTTGTGGCAACGGGGTGGGCCCAGTTTTGCTATGATGCATCCAGCCCATAGCCTGGCAGTTTGATACCCCTCCAATTGTTTAAGGAAGTCCTTGGAAGATTGGAGGAGAGTACCCAGCACTAAGTGATCAGAGATGAAGATGAAAGAAAGAAAGAAAGAAAGAAAGAAAGAAAGAAAGAAAGAAAGAAAGAAAGAAAGAAAGAAAGAAAGAAAGAAAGGAGTGGAGTTTTGATTCCTGGGCACACATTGCATGGGATGCTCCACAAGGTCACATTGGCCAAGGAGTCAGTGAAAATACGTAAAATGATCAAGCATAATGCTTATTCAAAAATCTGTTACAAGGAGTCACAGAATGTGCCAAGATATTTGTCAGGCTAAGAAAAAGTCTCTCAGAAAAATAGACTTTAAAAAACCATGCACACAGGGTCCCATTAAAATTATCAGGACTTCAGAAATCAGAAAGTAAATTAGTCCTCACTTTAAAACCAGATCGACTAAATATGAAGTTTAACAGACTATGAAATTCCTAGAAATAGTAATTAAAAGTTGGGGGGGGGGGGAACGAGGTGGATAGAAAAAAATCCAAGGTGGTTCTGATTTATCAGCACAGCCAGGAACAGACTTTCATTTGAGACACAGCGAAGCAGTTGGTGGCTCAGGCAGCAGATTCTGGAGTCATAGATAGAAATTTGTTAATTGTCGAACTTATTATATTATTGATTATTAAGATCTTTTGACAGTTATTGAAAAAAAATTGTCTTTAATCTAGTTTCAAAATAGAGCTACGAAATTAATGTGCTGTAGTTACACTGACCTGATTTCAGTGGAATTTTTAAAAGAACAACTAAGTCTGGATCCAATGTTTTGACACAACACAATCCTAAACCTGAAAAGCCCAATTCTTTTCTCTATATAGTCTCCAAATAAACAGTGAGCTGACTTGCTTTCGACAATATGTTAGGCTTCCACAACAGATCAAATCACAACCTGCCTAATCCCATGTTCGACCAGGCAGGGAGATGGGAGATGTTTAGGGCCAGGCCTGCAGGGCAGGGTGGAGAAGGTCATCCCTGAGGTCAACTGGTTTCAAGCCAAGAAATTTCAACAAGTTAGAACCCTGAATGAAGCCTTGTTGTTGTTGTTAGTTGCGAAGTTGTGTCCGACCCATCGCGACCCCATGGACAATGTTCCTCCAGGTCTTCCTGTCCTCTACCATCTTCTGGAGTCCCTTTAAGTTCACACCTCCTGCTTCAGTGACTCCATCCAGCCACCTCCTTCTCTCTCGTCCCCTTCTTCTCTTGCCCTCCATCTTTCCCAGCATTAGGCCCTTCTCCAGTGAGTCCTTCCTTCTCATTAGATGGCCAAAGTATTTGAGTTTCAACTTCAGGATCTGGCCTTCTAAAGAGCAGTCGGGGTTGATCTCTTCTAATGAAGCCTAGAAATAACAAAATTAATCTGGTTTCAGAGGAGTCATTTGTTGCATTGAAATGAAGAAAATACCTTACATCAGGGGTGTCAAACTCGCAACGTCACATGACGTGTCGCAACATATCATGAGTTTTTTGCCATTGTTGGCTATGGGTGGGCGTAGTTTCACCATGACGCATCTGGCCCGCAGGCCGGCAGTTTGACACCCCTGCCTTACATGCTCAACATGCTTGGCCAATAATTCCCCACTAGCCAGATTCATCTCTTGAAAGATGTGGACTGGATCCTGATGGTCCAATCAAGTGAGCCCCATAGCTTCCTCTCCATTTCGCTTAGATGTTGCTTTGCTTAAAGCCACAGCAAGATTGATTGTCTTCAGTCTGATTTTGCAGGTGTCATTTTGATTGCACGTAAAATGCTAATCCATCTGTTCTAATAAGTAAGAGAGCCTCTCCTGCTCTCGAGTGTGTGCGTGTTGTGACAATGCAAAGTGAGAATTCTAGGATCTAAAGTCTAGCACAAGTGGAGAGCCTCAGGTTGGGGAAGGTTAGAGTCTGTCTTTTCAGTAGATACAAGCATGCCTGTGTGTGGCAATAAGCTGCAACCGTGCCAGCTTCAGGTGACAGGGCTCAGGGCCAGAGGCAAACAGTTGACCCTAGAGGGGCACCCAGGAAGTCTCCAAACCTGGCCAAAGAGTCCAAAAATGTGACTTGCTCCGACACTTGCTGGAACTGGAATTCTAAGGCAAGCATGGGATTTGTAGTACTAGCTTTGTGAGGATGAGAGGAGAGACAGGAGCCTGCCCGGTCCTCAAAAAAAAAAAAAAAGACTAAGAAGGGTCTCCTGGTTCCTTAGAGGATCTGCTGCCTCTTTTCCAACTCTGAGAAGCCTCAATTTAGCCTTCTCTCTTCTTGCAATTGGTACAAAGAATGCAGCCCACTTCCAACTCAGCTGTCATACAGACTCTCCTAGTGTGAACCTGCTGATGCCTTGTAATCACCTGAGTATTGCCGTAGCCCTGAGCCTGTTCACTCATGGAAGGTTTTCCTTCATGAAACCCGCTTCCATTCAGAGCAGGGCCATAAGCTGGCCTGGCCACTTGCTTAGCTTTTTTTCCATTTGCTCTCCAGCAGTTTGGATGCAAAGCTCTCTCAGAGGCCCCTGGACCTCCAAGCCAATGGAGTTCCCTGCAAACTGGGGAAGGAGTTTCCACACATAACCATGAAACTTGTTGAAGCTTTTGTTACTGCTGTGATTTCAGCCACAGAAATAGTATTCCAGAAAGGCTCTTCAGCAAAACACTTCTTCCTGAAGACAGTTTAAATAGCTGGCGACTTACATATAATGCAACTCCCCCTCCTCTTTTTGTAGACCTGTTTCTTTTGAACAATTTGTATCCCTTCAGTTCATTCCAGTCATGGGTTTCGTCCCACAGGGTTTCTGTAATGCCAACTATGTTATACCCACCTTCGTGTACTATTGCTTCTAGTTCGCCCTGTTTGTTCCCCAAGCTTTGAGCATTTGTGTATAAGCATTTAAAACTTTTATGTCTGTTTGTGGGTATGTTTCCTGCATCTCCTGATTGTTGTTTGAGTTTTTCTTTTTTCTCATCACTACCTACCTCATTGTTTGATTTGTTTTTTGGGGGGGATTTATGATTGGTTTTGTGTTCTAGAGATTCTAAAGATTGGTCACCCTTCCCCTCAATTTTAGTTTAAAGCCCTCCTGATGAGTTGGGCCAGTCTTTTTCCAAGTACATTTTTCATTCCATCGTTACTTCTTGTCCTGCCCACTGGTGCTTTGGAGAATAGTTTGATGCCCTCTTCTTTGTGGCAGCCCCTCAAATACTGGAATAACTGCTATCATATCTCCCCTATTTCTTCCTTTCTTTAGACTAGCCAAACTCACGTCCTGCAGCCATTATTCATATGTTTTAGTCTCCAGGCCTTGGATCATCTTAGTTGCTCTTCTCTGGGCCTTTTCCATTAGAATTGAATTAAATCCTGCTAAGAGAAAACATGACTGCAGTTTTGCTAACTGCAGATTTCATTCATTCATATTTTTAAAAGTTTCTAGTCTTCATAGTCACACTGGAAATATGTGGATTGGGTTATGTTTTATAACTAAATATTTTGGTTAAGCACCATCACTTTAGTTACAATTTGTTTTTCCAATCATTTTCTAGATTTTTTCCCAAATAATGGGATTTTGTTTTTTTCAGTACAAGTGGGGATGGTCACAAAGAGATTTTAAATTGTATAGTTGCTGGGTTTTTTTTTAAATTGCACATATATTTCTATAGGAGAAGTATCTCCAAAGAGTTCTTTAGTAACAGAGTTCAAACACACTGAAACATCAGTTGGAGATAGTGATCAAGAATTGGAAAAGGAGCCAGGCATACAAGCCCTCTAATTCAGGGGTGTTGAACTGCTGGCCCGCGGGCCGAATGCGTCATGCTGAAACAGCCCCCCACCCCATTGCCGGCAATGGGGAAAAAAAATCACGATATGTCGCGACACGTCATGTGACATTGTGAGTTTGACATCCCTGCTCTAATATATAGTTATGCAAATCAGAATATATTTGGAATGGAATGCAGCAGCAATTTGGTTGTCTTGTAATCCAATGAAGTCAGGATAGTGAGGAAATGAGGATGGTACTCCAAAGACCATAGTCCCCTAAATTGGGTAAAGACTGTGTTCTTGGATGTGCTCCTTCCTCTACTAGATCTTCTCTTCTGAAAACTTGTTCTCAGCTGTTCTTCTCTCTTAATATCCCAGTCAACATCCTTGTGTCTTAAATGTTTCTTTGACTTTGATAGCTTATGTTCCCAGGGAAAGGGAATTGGGAAAGGGAAACAACAGAGGGGCAGTTTTACTCATCGAAACTAACACAATTTATCAGCTTCATTTGTTGAGCTGATGGCTGTAGATAGGCAGATGTATCTGGGGCTGCAGATGTGTGAAGCTGCCCTTTGGAGGGGAAAGGTCTTGCTCTGTTTCTAGGGTCTGACTGAGGCAATCAAGCCGAAGTGATACCAAACTTTGCCATACAGCCTTTCAATGGGCCTTCTGAAAATAAAATAAGCCACATTATTATATTATAACTAGCCAATGCTCCTGTTAATTTAGCTTACATAATTCGCAATACTTAAGTCTTGGATAGTCACATTACTACAAAGAAATGCTCTATTGATAACAGAGGCAATGTGGTTTTAAGAAATTGCAGACATCCCCCTCCCCACCCATCCCCAACCTAAAAGCATACCTCTTTCCCTGCTGTTTAATGAGGTAACTTGGTCTGCCTCCCCAGCCACAGCCCATTTCTCTCCCATCTGCTCCATTTCTTCCTGCTTGCGTCAAGAGAGAAGTCAACACACACACACACAGCACCATCACCAAAATTAAAAGTGCCCTTGCATTTCACACAACCGTCCTTGAGGATTCAGATGGTGAAACAATGTGGGACTCCGGAAGTGGCAGCGTCTGTGGAAGATTTATGAAGGTGCCTTTAATACACGCCAGTGCGGGTACATGCCAGCGCGAGGGAGGCAGAAAAGAGACAGGGTGCACGCTCATCTCACACACCAAAGGCGTTTCAAATCACCTGCCTGCCTTCTTTCCTGCTCTTTTTCTCCCCTTATCCTCAGCTCACCCCAAACGCAGAAGAAATCATACAGGGAAGGGAGGTAGGGAGGGAGGGAGGGAGGAGGAGGGGGAGGAGAGGGGAGGGAGGGGGGGTGGGTGAGTTTCTGCTTTGCCCTGGCTTTTTTTCTCCTGGGCCCCTTCCCCCGTGGGTTAGCCTTTCCCTTCTCTCCTTAGCCATCCTCGGTGTGAGAGAGATGGAAACGGAAGTTCAGCCACCTGGGGGGGGGGCATCCTCTTGAGGGGGGGTCATGAGCCTTGTGGAATCAGGCCACACAAGAGAGTTCAGCAGCCAAAACCCAACGGCCTTCCGGGAAGCCTTCAGAAGGTTTCCCTAAACAGACTTTTCCACGCGCCTCCCTTAGCCTGTGGCCCAGATCCTGCCTCCCTTCACTGCTTGATAAGGCTGTTTCAAGATGCTCTTGGGGGGGGGGGGGGAGAAAACAGCTTCCACCTGGAAAAGGCAAAAAACAAAAACAAAACTGTGACGGGATCACCTGTCAGGAGTGAAAGTCGGAAGGTTCATGGACAGCTAGTCACCCCCTTCTTCCTCTCTAAGGAGTTTCCCTTCCTGCCCGTTTTGTAGCGAAGAGGAAGGCAAACACAGGGCGGTGTCGTCTCCCGCAGCAGGGCAATTAAACCAATGGGCCAAGACAGGGAACTGGAGAGGCTGTTTGCCAGCCTGCCTGGCCTGTTCCCATGAGAATAACAGAATAAGAGAGTTGGAAGGGGGCCTTGGAGGCCTTCTAGTCCAACCCCCTGCTCAGGCAGGAGACCTGTCCTGTGGCCAGCAGGCCACAGCCCACCACCAGACCGTCTGGGTATTTTTGACCAAAATCTTTTAGCTTTAGGGCATGTCCACCAGATATGGTAATAAGTACCTGGTTTTTGTTTGCATTTCCAACACTTGTTTGAAGTATTTTTAAACATTTTTGCTAATCTTACTGGTGTTAAATGCCATCTGTAAAACATTTTATATAAGTTTTCTTTATATGCCACTGCTTTCGTTAATTTAGCATTTCTTTCCCATAACTTTTGCCAGTTCGCTAATTCTATATTATGTCCAAAGTTCTTTGCCCATGCTATCATTGTTTCTTTTACTTGTTTTTCCTCCATCTTTAAGCTTAACAGATATTTATAGAGTTTCTTAATCAGTTTTTCATCTTTTTAATAATGTCTGGTCGAATTCTGTCTGTTCTTTATAAAATCCCATTGTTTTAGCATCTTTTTCACATCTCGTTTGAGTTGCAAATATGGCCACCATGATAGATCAATTTCCCTTCATTGTCCAAAATATCTTTATAGGTCACAACTTTGTCGTAATTAATTAAATTTGGGTAAGCAAATGCTTCCATTGTTGAAAGCCATCCAGGTATCTTGAGATAAATTTTCGCTTTTATTTTTTCCTATTCTAAAAGAAGTGCATTTCTTACAAAGTGGTTTTGAAAGTATCTGTGAATTTTATTCTTCCCATACCACAGAAAGGCATGCCATCCAAGTTGTAGGTCATGCCCCTCTAGGTATAATAGTCTTTAATCTTTGAGCATTATCCACTCTTTAAGCCATATAAATGCCCACCCTTTCTTTTGGGAGTTGGTTCCCCTGCTCGCCCGCTTCAGAAGCTGTATGTTGTCTATCACACGGCTAGCAAGCCATGATGCAAGTCACATCCTTTTCTCCCCCTCTGCCCTCTCCAATAAATATCCATTATTATGATACTTTTCTTGTATAGAGCAGAATAACAGAGTTAGAAGGGTCCTTGGGGTCTTCTACTCTAACCTAGACCATTTTAGACAAATGGCTGTCCAGGCTTTTCTTGAAAACCTCCAGTGATGGAGCACTCACAACGTCTGGAGGCCAGCTGTTCCACTGTTCCATTGCCTCACTGTTAGGAAGTTTCTCTTTAATTCCAGGTTGCTTCTCTCCTTGATGAGTTTCCATCTGTTACTTCGTGTTCTGCCTTCTGGTGCTTTGGTAAATAGGTTGGTAAATAGGTTGACCCCCTGTTCTTTGTGGCAGCCCCTCAAATATTGGAAGACTGCTATCATATCACCCCTAATCCTTCTTTTCACTAGACTTAGAAATAACCAATTCCTGAAACCATTCTTCATACGTTTTGACCTCGAGTCCCGTAATCATTTTTGTTACTCTTCTCTGTCAAAATCCTTCTGTATCTTGAGCCTATCTTCTGGGGTGTTGGCTATTCCTGCTAGCTTGGTGTCGTCTGCAAATTTGATGAGTTTGGCTTTTATTCCCTCATTTAAATTGCTTATGAATCTGACTTTCTTCCTGTTACTTAAATCTATTAGGCAAGATCCAGCTCTCAGACAATAAGAGAACAAGCCAGGGACAAAAATCAAATTTAGATTCACAGCTGGTTTTCTGACTGAGCTCAGTTACGAATTTTGGCACAAATGAGAATGGGGACTGGTGATGCCCTTTAGGACGATGCTGTGTGGTTTATTAAGGCTTTCTTCCTCCCTCCCCTTGTTTTGCCTTGAGATTAGAGGTTCAGCAGAGGACAGGCTCTTATCTGGCAAGCACTGAGTGCTCTCAGGGTAGAATAGAATAATGAAAGAATAGAATAGAATAGAATAGAATAGAATAGAATAGAATAGAATAGAATAGAATAGAATAGAAGAGAATAGATAATAGAATACAGAATATAGAATAACAGAACTGGAAGGGACCTTGGAGATCTTCAAGTCCAGCCCCTGCCTATGGCAAAAGACCTTATATCATTCTGGACAAATGGCTGTCCAATTTCTTCTGGAAAGTCTCCAGTGATGGAGCCCCCACAGTTCTGAAGGCAAGCTGGTCCACCGGTTCATTATTCTGCCAGGACATTTCTTCTTAGTTCTGGATTGTTTCTCTCCTGGATTAGTTTCTATCCAGGGCTGCTTGCAAGCACGCTGGGTCCTGTTCTGAGCTCTGTGCTTATGCAATAGGGATTCAGCTGCCAGGAAGAGCTTTGGTGGGCAAAGGGCAGATGCAACGGGGTAGAAGCCCTGGACCGCATGGCTACCTCGGGATCTGCTGTCACTAGCCAGGGATGCCCTGACTTGCTTTAAGTAGCAAGGAAGACATTAGCTTCCCAACTGCAAATGGCTTTTCTTTAAGCCATCTTAGTGAGTGATAATCTTGGCTTCCTACACAGCAGCAGAAAAAAAAAATAGCATCAATGGGTGACCATCTCCATGATGAATTGTTTCTCCAGTGACCAAAACAGGTAATCCTCAACTTACAATCACAATCAGGACTAGCATTTCTGTTGCTAAGCAAAGCAGTTGTTACGTGAGTTGCACCACATGTTACAACCTATTTTGCCATGGTGTAAAGCATATCCCTGCAGTTGTTAAGTGAATCATATGGTCACTAAAGGAATCTGGCTTCCCCATTGACTTGCTGGTCGTAAGCCAGCTGGGAAGGATGCCCAGGGTGATCCCCTGACCCCGGGGGCTCTGCGTCTGCCATAAACCCATGTTGGTTGCCGAGCCCCCAACCTCTATCCCATGACTGTGGGGAAGCGGCAAAGGTTGCTGGTGGACGGACCGTCCTGGAAGCATTTTCCGTACCACAGTAACATGGAGTGGTTGCTAAAAGAATAGATGTAACTCGAGGACCACCTGCGCCCTGACCTCCATTCTGCCTCCTTGCAGACAGCCCCTCCGCCCCGGTCAACGTCACAGTCAAGCTCCTGAAGGCCAACTCAGCGGTTGTGACCTGGGATGTTTTGGAAGAGGAAGTGGTCATCGGCTTCGCAATTTCACAACAGGTAAGAAGCTTCTGGCCAGGCGGCCTCCGAGTTTCCTCTGCGTTCTTCTTGGGTCCTCAGGATGAGTGCAGGACCCACCTTAGCTGCCTTCAGCCGCCCCCATGAGGGACGGGCCAAGGAAGGCGCCCCACGAATCCCAGACTTCTGATGACGTTTGTTACGGCCCATGCTGGTTCAAAGGGCCATGTTGACTTTTAGGTTTTTATCTGTATGAAAGGAAATTGGAAGTTATTTTGTTCTTTTTATCTGAACTCCTGGGTTTTGCTTTTCCCGTATCCTTCCATCTTTCCTGGAAATTTAATAAGGTTTTTCAGGAAGAAAAAGGAAAGCCGGGTTTCTAATTTTTTACTGACATCTTGATCAGAACTAGGCTGAGGCAGTTCTTCTTGGGTCTGAAGAGCAATGCATGGACATTTGGGAGATCCTGGGTGCTCTCTGAGCTTGGTTGTTTTCTTGTAGATGTTTCATTGCCCAACTAGGTAACAATTATAGACCACTGATGATTACCTAGTTACCTAGTTAGTAATGAAACATCTGCAAGGAAATAACCAGCCTCAGAGAGCAGTAAGGATGTGTTTCAGAGCCTTTCTTTCATCAAGTCAGGGCCTGGGGACAGATTTTGGGGCTACAACTTCTAAGGCAGTGTTTTTCAACCTTTAATTCCCCAGAATTCCCATGGGGAATTGAGGTCCACAAGTCTTAAAGTTGTCAAGGTTGAGAATCACTGCTCTAGGGAGAGGCAAGAGAGGAAACAGAGGAGGTCCTTGACTCAAAACCTCATCTTCTTCTCTCTGGCTCCTGATATAGGATTGGGAGAAGCCCAATTCTCTCCAATGAGCAAGTGTGTGCCTTTGCACAGATGTGGAGGCAATAGGCCGTTGATTGGAAACCATTCCCATCCTTTGCACGACCTGCTTGTCATCCGTCTCTCTGCAGAAGAAGGATGTCCGAATGCTGCGTTTCATCCAGGAAGTGAACACCACCACTCGCTCGTGCTCCCTCTGGGACCTGGAGGAAGACACCGAGTACATCGTGCACGTCCAGTCCATCAGCATCCAAGGCCAGAGTCCAGCCAGCGAGCCAGTCCACTTCAAGACCCTGCGAGAAGCAGAGAAATTGGCTTCAAAGAACAAAGGCAAGTGGGAGGGGGCTGAGGCAGGGCAGGCTTTGGAGAGGGGCAAGGTGGGCAAAGTCACGATCAACCAAGAGGAAGCCAGGATAAGCCTCAACTGTCCCATTAGGCCAGACCTGTAAAATGTTTTGGAAAACAGGGGTAATCTTGGTATTTGAGGGCTGGCACAGCTGTCTCCACAACTGGCAAAACAAAGATGGAGGTTAATTTTTTAAAATTTAATTTAGCTTAATTTTAGCTATTAAGGCAGTAGAATACCCTTAGCTGCTCTGTGTGTGGAGCTAGTTCACTCCCTAAGTGCACCTTGCGAGCATGAACTGAACAAACTAACAATCTTAGATAGCCAAACCACTTTTCTGTAACAAAGTTGTAGGTTCCTGGCTTTCATGTATCAATGCCATATGCTAAATCAATCAACCAATCAATCAAGACAAAATCTGCATGGGTAGCTAAACTTCTTCCCTTTGCTCTGCTTCCTTCCTTCCTTCCTTTCTGTGAAGATGAAGTAACGATGAAGGAAATGGGAGACAAAAATCAACAGCTGCGAGCCGGCGAAATCCTGATCATCGTGGTCGTCTTGTTCATGTGGGCAGGTTGGTGGGAGTCCCTGTGTGTGTGTGAAAGGCGAAGCAGAGGGACTCCGGGTCTCAGTTGGAGGCTGCTGGGCATGGTCTGGCCCTGAAGGTAGTGGTGTGCAGATGTGATGGCTGTGACTGGTTTTCCTGCAATCTCAGGTTTTTAATATGTTTATTATGTCTGACTGTTTTTAGATGGTTGTGTAGTTTTTAACTGTAGCTATGTTTGTACACTACCCAGAGTCACATCTTTGTAATTTTTATTAAAGAAGGTTTTTTACGTTTAAAGATAAATAGAAAAAAATATAGAAAAAAAATAAATATAAATGGATAAGTGTTGAAAACAATAGAAAGTGAAAAGAAAAAGAAAAAAGAACCTACTTCTGATATTTTCCACAGCAGTAATAGTAATAGTAATAGTAGTAAAGTTGGAAGGGACCTTGGAGGTCATCTAGTCCAACCCCCTGCTCGGGCAGGAAACCCTACGCTATTTCGGACAAATGGCTGTCCAGTCTCTTCTTAAAAACTTCCAGTGTTGGAGCATTTACTGCTTCTGGAGGCAAGCTGTTCCACTGATTAACCTGAAACAGTTTCCTCCCTTCTAAATTGCATAGCATTGTAACTTCTCCCCGTATTCAACTGGCACAGTGGTTAATGTGCGGTACTGTAGGCTAACTCCACTGCCCACTGCCAGCAGTTCGATCCTGACCAGCTCAAAGTTGACTCAGCTTTCCCTCTTTCCCAGGTCGGTAAAATGATGACCCAGATTGTTGGAGGCAATAGGCTGACCCTGTAAACTGCCTAGAGAGGGCTGGAAAACGGTATATAAGTCTAAGTGCTATTGCTATTAATTGGTAAATCCAGAAATCCAGGTCATTTTTATCATTTTCAGCAAAAAGTTTATAAAGGGCTTCCAATCTTTTATAAAAGTAGTTGTTTACCCTCTCAGAGTCACATCTTTGCAAGATGGGCAGATCTATAAATATGCTAAATAAATAAATAAAACATTTAGTTTTCTATTGGCATCACTTTCTGCCACTGTTAAAATAATAAAAAATGTGGAAGACTAAAGGGGATGAAGTATATGGGCATAAATAATTGGGATCTAAGAGCCACTAGGACCATACGTTCTGGGTAGAAATGGTTGGACCGTATGACTGGGTTAACCCTCCTGGACCTGCTCACTTCCAGTACATTAGGCTACCACTTTTAATAGGGAAAAATGCCCTCTGGTAATCAGTGTAAATAAAAACACCACATAGGATATGCAACTTGTAAAAATTAGAGAAATTTTGTTCCCACCTGTTTGGAACGTGGCTCAGGTTTCCAAAGACAAACAAACTCACTTGGAATTCCAGGAACAAACGTTTATTGAAATAAAGCTTTTGCAAAAGCTGGTGGACTTAACTCATGAAAGAGAAAAAGCCACACCAATAATTTTTAAAAGCACATATTTATATCCTCACACGAAGCTGGTTCCCCCCCCCATCCCCATCACACTCAACAGCCCACCTGCTCATCTCGATCGGCTAATCCAAAGCGCCTAAACAGAATTTATTTCAGTTCATCCCCTCCCAGGAAAAATCCCTTACGTTTGATGTACCTGTTAACTATGACCTTTATTTTCATATTTCCTCCTGCTTGCAGTTACAGCTAGCTTCCTATGGACTATCTACATGTCTGAGATCTAAGCAACAATCCTGCACTTCTAAAAACTCAAGCAGCTCCTTTTTAATCACACTGCTTAAGTTTCAGTTATGCCATTAGGATTAATCTTCCTCATAAGATCATTAAACAATTTCTGATCTTATTATCCCTTACACATCCAAGGGCAGGGGAAGTCATGTAAAACTTTGCACAGAGGGGCACAATGTAACACAGCATGCGTACTTCTCTGCTCAGATTCCTTAAGGCAGGGGTCCCCAGCCCCCAGGCCATGGCACATTACCAGGCCGTGTCCCGTTTAGAACTGGGCCCTGGAAGCAGCAGGCAAGCTGGTGGGCGCATTGCTCCACTTGTGCACGCAGCTCCACTTATGCGTGCACATGTGTGTTCACCTGCTGCTCTTGTGGAAACATCCCCTAATTAATATTTGAACGTGATCTCTCTAGAAAAACCCGGAGCTATAAACTTAAATTGTGAAGTCACCTGGGGCAGTTCCCCTCCCTCCCTCCCTCCCTCCGGCAGGAGGATGGTTGGAGGTGCTTGTGGGACCTTCAGGAAATGTTGATCTGTGACCTCTTTCCTTCCCTCAGGGGTGATTGCCCTGTTCTGCAGGCAGTATGACATCATCAAAGACAACGAACCAAACAACAATAAGGAGAAAGCCAAGAACACATCAGAAAACAGCACCCCAGAACATCAGAGTGGGGGTCTCCTGCGTAGTAAGGTGAGGAGGAGGGTGGGGAGGGATGGGCAAAAGCAAGGCAGCCAGCATTTCCCAGTAGAGCCCCTGGAAACCTCATGCTCTGTCATCATCCTTCATAGAAAGAAGGGCGGAGCGATGCGTGGGCTACAGCCAGAGGTGGCAAATATGGGGCAGGAGTTCCAAAGACCCCGAGGCTTTCTCCACTTGGACTCCTCAGCAAAATTCAATATTTGCTGTGGCCATATGAAGAACTTCCAGCGTATCAAAGAGATCTTCTCTTTCCTTTTTGAATTCTTCTCTGTGGCTTGTTTTGCATGCGAGAAAGTTTGCATAAATCATAAAATGAGACTAGGCCAATTCCATGGGGGCCCAAGATAAAAATGAGATTGCCAGCCTATTGGAGACACATGTGAGTCACTAATTTCTGCTGTATCATACACCCAGTGAAACCCTCTTTATACTAAGTTAACATTTTAATAAATGCAAGGTATCCAAATGCCAGTTGGTTGCTCCTAACCATTGCAGTTATCCTAGAAAACAAAACAACAAATGTATCACCTTAAGAACCTAACTAACTGTTCTAGAAGTCATCTCTTAGCCTCTTGTTTAACTATCCCGGGGAAAACCTGTTCCCATAATTCCCATCTCTAAAGTCCAGATATGCAGCGGGACTTACATTGCCTCCCCCTCTGCCCTGTGCACCAGCTTTCCCTGCTCCACTCCAGCCACGAAAGGCTGCACAGGGGATGAAGAAGGACTGATGTGCCCACTATTGCTGGGTTCCCACATGGCGGTCCCTGCCCAGGCCCTGGTAGGAGACTCTGCAATGCTAAGAGAGGGGAAGGGGGCTCTGGCCTGAACAAGCTGCGGTTGGGGTTCAGCGGGCCTGGCTGGGCACCAGTGGAGCTGCCAGTAGCCACTGGTCCAGAGAATCCATTAAAAGGAGGATAGGACAAGGAATTACATTTTTACAATTAAATTCACCTACAATGCGACAATAAATAAGAGCATGTCAGGTATGCATTCATCAAGATAGGCATTATCTACCAGCTGCAGCCTGCAGTCATGCAGATGTCTTGCATCTTTCTGTGTAAGCAGCACTCTCAATAAAAGCAATCAGGTGCACCAAAAACTCTTCAGTTTGGCAGATAAAAAATCAAATAAATAAAATGTCAGCTGTTCCAAGATTTACTACAAATTTTAATATAGAAGAGGGGAAGCTGATTTATTTTGATTCTTCCTTTACATGGAGTTTCCCAAAGCAGGAAGGCCAATTATGTTAACAATGCGGCACTGAGCCAAGTCAATCAAAACATTCATTAAGTGATGGGGGTGTGGGTGTGGGTGGGGGGGGGGTAGAGAGACCGGATTCAGGAAGCTGCAATCTGTATTGGCAGAGGCCGTCTACTTCGTCTCAGGATAGACTACAGTTTCTGATCCAGCCATGCTGTGTTGAACATCTAGACTCAAGTCAGGGGACCTCTGTGAGTGTTCTTTTTGCATGAAGAAACCTACCTAAGAGTGTGACTTTAAGGTATACCTGGATACAGCCCTTAGAGTCTTAGACTAAGTCCTCCCATCAATATATTTTGGAAACCCTGAGCAATGAGAGTTAGACTTCTTTATAGCCACGCATTCAGCTGATTTAATACTTTTGGTACACATATTCTACTTAAGGGGTGTCCAACTGGCAACTTTAAGACCTGGACTTCAATTCCCAGAATTCCCCAGGAAGTCTTAAAGTTGCCAGTGTTGGACACCCCTGATCTAGACTGTCCTAAGGCACAATGTCTTGACATTCATCATTGTCTTCCTTTTCTCTCTTCCAGTTTCCAAAAACCAAGCCCTCGGTGAACATCATTGAAGCATGATAGCAGATGGAAAGGGCTGCAACTCTTTTCAGCTTCCTCTCTTCATTTTCCTCTCCGAGATCTGGCAGCCAAGAGGTGAAATACGATTAGACTTCCTGTTCAACTGGCTCAGCTAAAACCTCCCCATTTTTGCCATGGGAAAAAGAAAGTCTGACAAAACTTTTGCAAAATGAAGAGAATAACTCTGCAAGGAAAACTGCCTAATGGGAACCTTTCCATGAAACTGGGGCCGGTCTTCAATAACATTACTAGCTTACCTTTCCCCAATTCCATGTCTTTCAGATGTACTAAATGATAACTTTCCTAATCCCCAGCTGGTTTGACCTTTGGGGCTGGGGATTATGGGAGATGAAATCCACACATTTGAAGAGGGCCTGAATAGGGAAAACTGAACTACATTTGCTGCCGGAGATAATAAGATCTTGCCTTCCTGCCCTAGAGACTAAGTCAATCAACCTTTGCCATGCCTCTCTTCCTCAGGCTAGGAATCCCCAGTCACAACTTAGTCTTAGCCCAGGAGAGACATGGTGAAGATTAGCTCTTGTTTCTAGAAGAAAGACAAAACTGTGGATTTTCCCAGGTTGTACCTTCCCTTTCCTTCTCTTTTGTATCTTACATCCGACTCCTGGAAAATAGTTCATCATGTTGCTATTTTGCTTTTGGGCTAAATGGTTAAATTTCTAAGGAGGACGTGCTATCCTGTATTTCAGGCATCACTGCCTCAGTCTCTCCTTTTGGTGGTAATCTTGGAGACACTTTTCCTTGGACTAAACAAAACGTTTGGCTTCACAATGAGTTCCATTGCAGGCATCTTGTTCTTCGTGCATTAAGCACCTGTAACTGTTGAGAGGCATTCAATGTTCTTCCTTTAAAACAAAAACAAATCAGAAGCACATGACACGTCCCACCTGGATTCTCAGGGCTCCATTAACCGCTGTTGCTGCTTTCAAATTATTTTGAGCAGTTGTGTAAGTCATCTTATTCCCACAATTTGTGGGATAATCAACACAGAATGCAAAAAAAAAAAAAAAGTAAAAATGTTCCAGCTTTACCGAATAATGAAGTTTGACAGCATCACAGACCAGAACTGAACACGTGCTGTTCTTTCCTCTTAAATAGGGAGAGGATAATACCCACCCCTCTCCCAAATATATGTTTTATATCCCCTTAACTTCTTCAGAAACATCTTGGAAATTATAGTTTAGTGTAGTGCTGAAATTATACAGATGATCCAGGTTAAAGAAAGGGTCTTATCTACTGTCTTGTTTCTTAGGAGAATAGCCAGAGAGGAGTTTTGTAGGAACCCATAAGCACTTCTTCTTTGGCCCCAACAGTTAATCCTCTATTTTGCACACTCAGAGAATCAGTTATCAGTTTTATGAAACAATGCAAGGTAAGGGCAGTGTCTGCCATTAAATGTTTTAGTTCCCTTTTGGGAGGGGGGGGGATCACAATCGCAATTCATGCCCTGTTAATTGTCCTTTTGCAAAAAAAAAGGGTTTGCATTTTCCTATTTTAAACTTGCTGTTTGCCTGGACCTTAGTTTTAGGGCAAACTAAAAAAGGTAATCAATTACTTTGTCAGAAAACCAGAACCGAGGCCTTACCTAACCAGTTCCCTGGTTCCTTAGACAGATCTCACCCTTTCTAATATTCCTTTTCAACGGGATCTGATGTGATGCACCCACAATTGTGTGCCAAGCAATTGCAATCTGGTCCATGAAAAGTGCTAGTCCTGGCAGTGTCTCCAATTTAATATTAAGAGCATTGCAGCTGAGTAGTTGGCACCAATAAGCGTTCTGGCATTCGTGAAATCTGTGTCTGAGTGCTCAGTTGGGGGAAGAAAAGATCCCAGATTAATGCAGGGGGGAAAGGAGACTTTATAAGTGGAATATCGTTTTAACTTTCCTGCAAGCACTCAAGAAAAGCAAATGCTTGGAATGTTAATGGGTGTTGTTTGAGGGAGGGGATTCACGGAACTGGATTTGAAGTGGACTTACAGAATTGTGACTTTTGTTAGCGCTGCCTTCGCCTATCTTATTAGCAAGACTTTTTATTTTTTTAATTACTTAAAATTTACTGCTGTAAGATCAAAATATGGGGGAATCTATTTAATTCATGTATTTATGCCCTGCCTTTCTTTTCTCAGTGGAGCCTTGTAATCTGCCAGACCTGTGAAGGAGGAGCCCAGGCTGGGTCTTGCGCCTGTGTTAGGATAGGAACTCATTTCCTACCTTCAAAGCCCACCATGCTGGTTACTCCAGGACAGAAACCCACAAACTGAGCCAGATCGGGGTATAGTGGATGAAGGAGCAAACTCAAGCTGTCTCCTTCCAGGTCTTAATTATATAGCACTTGCTATATATGCAATTGCAGATGAAGTCTTTAAAACATTTTTTTTTCATTCTGTTTCAAAATCTTTGCCCCCAAACACAGGCAACCTCCACCTTCCAGACCTACTGTCTTTGTAGATTGCAATTCCCATCATCCCCTGTAACCCATCTTATTTGGAAGATGCCAAGTCTGTCTGATGACTTCCTCAAAATGTGTAGATAATCTTCTAAGCCTTCTGTACAGTGGTGCTTGAACCATTTAGAATTTTCAATATTTCTGCATAAATATGATCTAATACATGATCTTCTCTCCACCCTCCTAAAACTAGTTAAAGAGAATCCACACCACCCAGTGATCAAAAATTATATTTGTTCATGCATTAATTGAGGAAAATGATCTGAAGCTACGTATTTGTGTGTTGCAAAAGTAGGCAAATCTTTGCTTTCAGTAACTGGTGTGCCTGCCTTAGGTAGCAGTAATACAATTAAACATTCCATGTTTTAAGCCACTTGTATGCAGAAATATTGAAAATTCAAGGAAGTTTGCAACTTTTCCACACCACTGCAGCCCCAAACAGATCCCTGCATGAAGAACAGGCAGCCCAGTAAGAAAGAACTTGCCCTCCCTCACCAGGTGTTTGCACGCTGCTCCCAGAAGTCCTTCCATCATCGTATGGGGGAACAGTTGGATTTTCTCCTGTTCCTTCCCAAAGGATGATGTGAGGCAAGTTTGAAACCTTCTCTGTAAATCTCGGTAGGTAAAAATTAACCAGGCCCTCTTTTTAAAGAAGGCTGGGAGGCTCAGTGCTGCTCACTAATTGCAGAGCGCAAGTTGTGTTCTTGAGGACATACGCACAAACGAATTGCTTTTTCCACATTATTTAAAGCTTCCATGCTGCTCCAAACAGCTGGGTTCTTCCATTTCATACTAATAGAGCCCTGGGTGTATGTTCCTTTGCTAAAAGCACAAGTGGCAGAGAATATGAAATGCTAAGATGGTTGAGATTTCTGGCTAAAATTTATTTCAGACTCAGACTCGGTGCTCGCTTTACACATTCCCTTGAGCCATAATGTTGTTTGTTAAGTTTTGGCATATTGTAATGAGAACTCCAGCGATACGGTTTCACACAACGTATGACTCTGGCAATTTTACTTAAGACGCTCTCCTGTCTTAGGCATCTTGGTGGGAAGGTGAGGCTTGATATGCTGGGTGCCCGTGGCCAGGGAGGAACGGCTGAAGAAATAATTCCTGACTTACTTCAGGAACAGGGGGCTGACCAGTGCTGGAAATGGATAGGACGTGATAATCCAGCAGGGCTCTTTTTTAAAATAGTAATTTTATTAAAGGTTGCAATTACAAAGGTAAGATGCTACAAACTAAAAAAGAATAAAAAGAGAAAATGGAAGGTGCAGAAAAGAAAAAATGGAGAAATAGAAAAGAGAAAAAAGAACATGGTAAAAAAGACTATATATATATATATATGACTTCTCCCTTTATCACAAATATAAACAATTTTAGTAACTTATCACCTCTTAGAAGACAACAAATGATCTGTTCTTCCCATATCCCATCTCTTAAAAAAAAAATAGGCAAAGCTTTCCTCTGTCCAGTCATGTCCGACTCTCAGGGGCCGGGCTCTTCTCCGTGTCCCAGCTGAGGGAGCCAGCCTTGTCCAAAGATGCTTCCATGGTCAGATGGCCAGCCGAGGCACATGGGACGCTCTTAGCTTCCCACTGAAGGGGTGCCTATTTATCTACTCACGTTTACATGCTTTCAAACTGCTAGGTGGGCAGCAGCAAGAACAGATGCTCAACCACCATTCAGTATTTGGGTCTCAAACGGTCCACCTCCTGGCTGGCAAAGCCCCACATCTTCATTACTAGGCCACTGTGACCCACATACCCCATTTCTTAGCTATAAACAAATCCACAAAGCCCATCATTTCAGTCCTGCCACCCAAAGTTGATTAAAGGTTACCAGAGATAATGGCACATCTACTTTAACCTTGATCAAATAAACCAGCTTTGTATTCCTTCCTTTTACTTCTAACTTCTTAATCTTTATTTCATCAAATAATGTTGTAGAGTTTGATTTCTTTTTATTTTTTCTTTTCCCTTCCTAAAAGATTCTTCAAAATTTTAACAAATCTCTTTTGTAAATCTAACATAGGAAAATAATCCAGTAAATTTTCCAATAAACTCTTTGGTGTATTGTTTATACGTGCCTTTTAATTCTTAAAACATCAGCCAGTTTCTTTTGTATGTTCAGTATATCTTATTCCATATCATTCTTGTAGCCTGTCATTTGTTACATGATCTTTCAACTCAGTCTTGATCTTGTCAGGTAAAACTTGTTCTTCGATAACATCTTTTAGACGTCTTTCCACAGAGGCAGGTGTCACTGCTGACACTATTAATTTCTGAATCCATTCTTCAAAAATATCCTTCTGTGTGTCTGTTAGCATATTTTGCTCCAGTCTGTAATTATTACTTGAGTTTGTGTTCTTTAATTGTAATCTTTAGTTCCCTTTAATATCCAATTTTTAAAATAATATTTTTATATATTTTTAAATATATATGTATTTTTAAATGTGTGTGTGTGTGTGTGTATTTAAAAATCAAAACAAAAGCACTTTCCCATAAGGATTCCTTATAAATAATTCCAAAATCTTAATTCAAATTTATCTGGACTCAGCCTAATCACCATTTTGCTGTTTATTCCCCCCCCCCCGTACGTTCTTAAATTTGTACTTAAAAAATCTCTTTTGCTAAGAATTTATTTATTATCATTTATTAAATTTCTACACAGCCCATTTCACCTAAGTGACTTTGGGGAGTTTATAACAAGGCTTGAAGGGAAGCTTAGCAGTTGCTGTCAGTACAAAAGTTCTTAATCGCTGAAAAGTAGGTGGACGTAGTAGCCTTTCAAAGGCGCCGATCGTGATTTGAGCAAGTTGGCTCATCTCCCAGAGCTCCAGGGAGGAGGCTGCTATCTTGTGATCCCCTCACAGGCATTTGTGGGCAATCCCAAGTCCAGAGAGTTCTTGTCTAGAGAGGTTCAAAGAGTGGCCTACTCGGGGACTCTCCGTTCCTCACAGTGGTCGTGCCAACATCTCTTTCGTGGCACTCTCTTCGGTCTGCCCTTCCTTTCTCCAGGTGACCCAACGTGGCTCTTTTAAGGCTTCTCTGACCTTCCCTTTAAGTTTCTCATATGGGTTTCCCCAACTAAATTGCTTTGATACACCACACAGAAGAGGTTCTAGTGCTAGATAGTATCAAGAGAGACGACTTCACGATACCATGTCAGATATCTTCATAATGAAACTCTCATGACAGCACTTCTTCTTCCAAATGCCCAATCTCTGTCTTGGCTCGCCTTCGGCTACGGGAGTTACACCCAGAGGGTCCTAATGAGCCTCTTCAAAGCAGCATCACTTTTGTAGGTAACTAAAGTAGCAAGTCAAGCTTGAGACACAGCATTTCCGTCGTGTTCCTCTGCCGGCCACATTGGAGGGCCCTTCTGAGATGCAATTCCAAGAAGCCAGGAGAGCGCCAGATCAAGAAAGGCTATTGTTAAGTCCCCTTTGAAATGAGGTCCTGCATCAAATTCCAAACAAGGCACCAGCAGTGATGGGGCAACTCATCACGGCCATTTGCAAGATAAGGTCCGACTCCACAATGTTCAGCACTCTCCAAAAAGGAGGCTCAGAACAAGTTGTTTGGCTTGGGATATAGTTGTTACCTGTGATAACAATTTAAGCAATAAACTGTATTTTTAAAAATACATTGAAAGGGAGATCTCATTTGAATGGAAATATGTATGAGTTATTATCCCCAAGCTGGCCTTAGGAAAGCATGTCACAGCAGGGTTTAAATGCAGGAACTATAGGGGAAGGAATTGTTCTTAGCAAAACTTCTAAAACCTATGCCTGAATTAATAATATGCGTCAAAGTGCTACTTTTGAGCCCTTTTTCACATGTGGCACGTACGATGGAATTCTTGGGATTGTACCGTTTCAACTAGCAGATCAGGTGGGAAGGAAATTAATGTCAATGATGAACATGTGAACCCATCTACAGGGTTAGCTGCATGTCAAATAGGGCATTTCCTTGGAAGCTTGGCATCGTTTCTGTTAGGCTACAATATCCTCTCTCTCTCACCTCAACTATGGACAAGCAACAACCGAGAGACCCAAGAGGGCAGATTCAGATTGCACTTAGCTGGCTTCATTTAGTTTTGGAAGGATAGAAAATATAGAATAGAATAAAGAACAGAAAACAGAACAGAACAGAATAGAATACTTAATTGGCCATGTGTGATTAAACACACACAGAATTTGTCTCGGGTGCATAAGCTCTCAGTGTAGAGAATCCTCAAAGTACGACTACAATTGAGCTAAAATTTATGTGGCTAAGTGAAACATTTGTTGTGAATTTTGCCACATTTTAAGACTTTTCTTGAGTTGTTAAATGAATCACTGCAATTATTAAGGACTACCTATAAATACAAACAACAAGGTAATATAACCCAATAGTAGAAGATAGTAGGAAAGATGAGAAGACAACAGTAATACGGGCCTACTACATGGGTAAAATATCTTTAGACTGTTAGAATTAGGTATTCAGTAGTGATGGCATTGCGGGGGGGGGGGAACAGTGCCTGGTTGTTTTGGCATGCAATGCTCTATAGTGGAGTCCCAAGGAAAGGAGTTGTTTATATCCAGGAGGTGAGGGATCTGCACACATTTTCTCAGCCCTCTTTTTGACCCATGCATGAAAGAATGTGCCACTCAGCTATTTCCAGGAACAACCTAGAGCCAAGCATTTCGCCCCCCCCCAAAAAAAGAGCCTTATGTTGAGCATCAATGGAAGGCAGGCTTAGTGCATCAGTTGTGGTTCCTATATCCATTTATGACTTAGTTCAGCCATGAACATAACTAATTAGTAGCACTAAATTAATGCTCACGGTTTTTCAGAAGTGGCTTGCCATTACCTTCTTCCTAGAGCTGAGAGAGAATGGCTGTCTCAGAGTCATCCAGCTTGCCTTCAGAAGTTGTGGGTGCTTCATCACTGGAGGTTTTTAAGAAAAGACTGGACAGCCACCTGTCTGAAATGGTGTAGGGTCTCCTGCTTGAAGAGTGGGCTGGACTAGAAGACCTCCAAGATCCCTTCCAGCTCTATTCTGATTGATTGCATGCCCTTCATTAGGCCATTTCAGGTTTGAAACCTTACCACAAATTAGGGTTCTGTTCTATATTCTATTCCAGGGGTAGTTAACCTTGGCTCTTTTATGACTCGTAGACTTCAACTCCCAGAATTCCTGAGCCAGCACGAGTCATAAAAGAGCCAAGGTTGACTACCCCTGTTCTATTCTATCCTCTCCAAAGATTGAAGCCCCTCTAAGAAGGATCACAGTCAAAAGGGACCCTCTTTCAATTGTTCTACCATCCCCCTCCCCCCTTGAAGAGGAGCGGGGTTTCCAGGGGTTCGTGCAGCCCATGCAGAGGCGTAGAGAACGAACCGAAAGGAGTTTGCAAAATCTCTGCCCACCCTTAGCAGCAGGTGTGGCTCCCCCCCCCATCCTCCTTATTGCCTCCTTGGGAGAGAAAATGAGAAGGCAAAGGCTTTGCAGCTCGCTCAGCCTTCACACAGGTCTCCTGCCAGCATCCAAAGGAAAGAAGCTGGTGCTGCACTTTATGTCATTGGCTCCTGTAATTGCACATTTCAAGAACGGAGCTGTACATGCTATTAGAGAACGACAACCAGGGATAAACAATGCTGGCCCAAAGCAACTCCTACGCTTCAGAGGGGACTTTCAAGCTATGAAAACCAGCCCCCGGACTCCCTGGGGCAACCGATTTCAAGAAACAGGAATGCATTCTGAGCACACAATGGTAAAGGAAGAGCTACACATTACACAAGTGGGAGGGAAGTTTCGGAGGGACAGAGCAAAATACGAGAGGGATTTGCAGCCAGCCTCTGCGTTATTTAAGAAAGCTCTGTGCCAAACCACACAAAATGAGTTTTTATAAGGACAGTGGATAAGACATTTAGCTCACAACAAAAATACTCCCACAAAATGGGGGTATTTCTCCTCCCTCAGAATACTTCCAACAAAAAATTGATACACAAAATTGGTAAAATGATTTCACAAGTGAGAAACCAAATATTTCAGCCTTGAGTGATTTTCCAATTAAGCATAATATAAACAAAATCCCACATTAAAATTGTTCTGCTTATGCAAATATAAAACAAGAATGGTGCTTGAATAACAGAACAGAACAAAGTTGGAAGGGACCTTGGAGGTCTTCTAGTCCAACCCCCTGCCCAAGCAGGAGACTACACCAGAGGTCTCCAACCTTTCTTGGCTGGCCGACTGGAGGGAATGGGAGGGGGAACCATTTTATGCACATGCACACACACACACACACACACACACACACACACGAACAGGGCCGCAAGCATGTGTGACATAAATGGGGAGGTGCTAACGTCCCGGTGTGACACTTGCACTGCCGTTTTTGCCACATGGGCGCTAGCATCGCCCTGTTTTTGCCACACGGTGCCCCATTTGCGTAGCAGCAGCAGTGCTGGTGTGAGTGGGAGTGTGCGCACTGTTCAGCCTGTTCTGCAGCCTGGTGGCCAGCAGGCCATGGCCCAGTAGTGGACTTCAGCCTACAGATTGGGGACCCCTGCCTATACCATTCCGGACAAATGGCTGCCCAGTGTCTTCTTTAAAACCTCCAGTGACAGAGCACCCACAACTTCTAGAGGCAAGCGGTTCCACTGGGTTAATTGTTCTGTCAGGAAATTTCTCCTTAGTTCTAGAGGTTGCTTCTCTCCTTGATTAGTTTCTATCCATTGCTTGGAAACTCCATTGCTTGGCTCACATAGTACCCTAGCAGCAACATCTACGAACAGGACTATTTTCAAATTTCAGCTAGTTAGTCATTGATGCTCAGTTGGACAAAGAGACCCTATTTAAGTTCCTGCTTCGAAAGGGCAGATCCACAGGTTCTTGATGGGCAAACTGTACTTAGAACAACCATGGAGAGAACATGAATACAACACACTGCACCATAATGATGTTGCCTGGTTTACAAATTAGAGATTTGTGTAAAACTAAACAATTCTAATTTATTTATGTCAGTGTGATATGTGAACCCAGTCATTATGTGATTCTGTTTTGGCATTCAAACATCAAACCCTAGCTGTGCTTAACTTATAATTAGAACACTTATTATTTCCCATAGTTGATGCCACATTGATTGTAGTACACTGTTTCATGCATTTTTTTCAAGTTGATGCTTATCCACAAAGGATTAAAACATCCACTATCTAAACAGGAGAGGAGAAATCTGTGGGAAATGATATATGTAACCCTGGCCAAACAACAACCTTTGTTTACAAAGAGTTCCAACATTAGCAAGACAATAATAAAAACAATTAAAAGCATGCCATCCTTTAATACAATCAATTACTACAATTTTCTTACTCATCTGCAGTCTCCAACTGGTTTGTACTTCTCTTCTATCTTATGTTTTAAGCCACATGTTAAGTTTTAGTATCTGAAGTGGGAAAGCCCTGCTCTCTTGCAGTTCAGTTGTATCTTCCAGCAAATTCTTTTAATAAGTCCAGTAGAAAAGAAAGGGTCTCTCCTATGAGAGGGATAATGTTTAATGGAAAGTCCCATGGAAATGTCTATCTCTCCAACTGAAGCTATGAATACGAACCTTCAGTGGACGTTGCATATTCAGGGACTGAATGAAAAGTAATGCCATCAAAAGTTGCCAACAGGTGGCAGCATTGATGCATTAGATTAGAAGCTCTGAATGTTCTGTAGCAGGGGTGATAAACTAGTATCACTTGCAATAGCTGGCTTTTGTTATTAGAGGGATGATGACTTAAGAAAAAGCTTCTACATTTTAAGCAGTCCTCTAAAGCCTATGATGCCGGATGATCCCCTACACCAGGGATAGGCTCGTGGGCTCCCAGAATTCCAGGAGTTGAAGTCCACGAGTCATAAAAGAGCCAAGGTTCCCTACCCCTGCCCTACACATATGAGCATTTCAAGAAGGGGTGAATAATTTGAATGTGTGAATGGACTCCATTAAAAGTTCTGTATCTGAAGGAACATGAGATGTTTGGTATTATTGTTCTTCATTGTCGAAGTGTAACAAAGTCAGAGCGCCTAGAATTTCCATCAAATTTTAAAAACGGAGAAGATAAACAATTAATCTGGACCTAGTCAAGCAGTAAGCATAGAAGGGGAAAAAGGAGAATAGGTCCCAGAATTTTAAAAGAAACATTTATAACATATTCAAGGTGCAATATCAAACAAAATAGTAAAAATACAACATTTCTAAAATATTCAGCCGTGAAAAATGTTCAAGACAAAACAAACAAGTATTTGTAATAAAAGCAAATACATTAAACTGGCCTTCATGTTAATAGTAACACATACACACATTAAACAACTTGAACTTCTGGTACCTAAACATTTAAAGAACAACTCGGAATAAAAGGTCCTCTAGCTGAGGGTTGGGCTGCGCTCAAAGCGGTCAGGAAGGCCATCAAACCGGCCAAAGTTGCGCCTGCTGCGCTCCACCCACTGGCTGAGACTGAACCTCTGAGTTTGGCTGTGACTCCGTTTCCTGTAGTTCCTAGGTAGGGAAGGCATTTTACAAAAAAAAAAAAAAAAAAAGGAAGAAAAAACGTCAGTGCAAAACTTGGGAGACAAAAGAGCAGCGACCCAACCCTGAAGACAGTTTCCTCTCCCTTTTTCTTGGGGAAGCTTTCCACACGAATACCGGGAGCCCCGCCCTCCCTTTTCAGCCTGGGACACCATAAACAGAGCAAGGAAACTACAGACCGGATCCTCTTTCTGTTGCCCCTTCCTAGCCTGCCTTCTCTTCGTTTTTAGGCCTAAGGCCGCCCACCTCCTCTTCCCTGACTTTATCCAGTCCCATCTCAAAAACCGAAGCCTCCATGCCACAGCCATTGTCAAACCAACAGGGGAACATTCCTCAAGAACATGGTATTATTTTTTTTATTAGAAGAGTTAACAAACTTTTAACAAAATCAACACCGCCACGTTGATCAGAATTCAAAGCACTATCAGAAAATCAAAGCTAGGATTTGGGGGAAAGGGGAGTTTTTAATTCCTTTGCATTACAAAGGCTTCCTTTGCCCTTTTGAGTCTTCATGAGTTGACAGAACTGGTGCTCGACTTATGACCGGTCATTTAGTGACCATACAAAGTTACAACAGGCCCTCCCCAAAAGGCATTTACAACCTGGTCACTTGGCAATAAGCCCACGTTTTAGGGCCGTTTGCATGTGGCTGCAATTTACAAAGTTTTGGCTGAAAACCGGTCTTTGCTTCTGATTTTCAGCAAAAACACCACAAAGCAAACAATGAATTTGTTTAATGATTGCCACATTTACTTAACAATCACCGCAAAAAAGTCGTAAAATCAGGTCGGTCGTGTGGGAAACCTGCTTTACAACTGTCGTGACTTACAACTGTAATGGGCAGCTCCATTACAGTCATAAGTCAAGGACTACTTGTCCCGTAGTTCAGCTCTCGGCAGGCAAAGAGAGGAATGTTCAGGCAAGTCAGATTCTGCTGCTTGTTTCTAAAGGTGTTTAGCTAGCAAGTCGAGGAACTGCTCCCCTCCCCTCCATTTTTTTCAGATAAAAAGACTATGCTTAGAGTGAAATAGATGTTTCAAGACATTACCTTTCTAAAATAATGACTTTTATAAATTATAAAAATACTCTTTTCTTTTTCAGTTGTATAATTTTATCCCCAATTTCTCTTTTATTCAATTATTGTTCACCTCGGGGAAATAAATGCTCAAAAAATGCTCAAAATTTGTATCTAATTCATATGCATCCATAAATCTCCGTTATTCAACCATAGTGTGGTCTTTATCGTCCAAATATCAGTACATGTAAGTAAGGATATTTTGCCAACCTGATAGATAATAAATTCTAGTTCCTCAAAGTTGAAATAATTATTCCTGTTTTTACATGCTACGAGATCAGCAAAGCTGCTTCCCAAGAAAAGGTTGCCCCTGAATTCTGCCTGTCCTCTCAGAGGCATCCTACCTTACGGTCAAGTCTGTTGGGTGGTCGTAACTGGATTCCGATGCGACTGTGTCAACCAGGATGTGCAACTCATGGACTGGGTCTGAAATTCAGCAGAGCAGAAGATGAATCAAAACATGACAGTTAGGAGGGAGATTTTGCTAACACTTTGGAATCTATTTTTCGCTAACCAAAGAAAGGAAGAGACAACCCTTACTTTAAGTTGAATAACAGCGTACGCTAAAAGAAGAGCCAGCGGTTTGGGGGATTGCATTTGCTCAGGACCAAGAAAATTCAAAGTGCTGTTTGATTAAAAATACAATAAAGGAGAGATTCTTAAAATCATTTTTTCCCCCAATTTGTCCTCCAACCTGCAGTCCAACACTATTTAAGCTTTATCAGTCCAACATTTTCTAAGCTACCATTTTTCACCAACTAGTTAGACCAAAACAATTAGCCTAACAGGATACTTTAAGAAAAGGTCAAATCCTCTAGTCATAGAAAAAGAATCTCAAATCAACATCTCAGACAACTAGCAATAGACTGTAGAGCTATGGTGGCGCAGCGGTGGTCGGAATGCAGCCATAGCAGGCTAACTCACTGCTCACTGCCAGTTCGGTCCTGACGGGCTCAAGGTTGACTCAGCTTTCCATCCTTCCGAGGTCAGTAAAATGAGGACTGTTGCTTACTTTACATTTCAATGTATGTTGCAAGTTAATTCATTTATAAAGCTAGGCGTATTCTGGGAATTTTTATAAGCAAAATTCCTTCTGGAACTCTTATTAGATAAAAATTGCCACACAAACCTCCATGTCACCTGACCCCCATCTCTAGCCTGGATAAAATGGAAGCAAGCAAGGAAGTCTTTTCTGGAACAAATCCAATTCCTCCCAGTGGAAAGGGTAGCCAGGAACCCGGGAATGTGCTAGCCTCCACTTTGACCTTAGTGATGTTTCTGCCACCCACAACTCCCCTTTTACCTTCGCACTTACCGATGAGAGACGGGACAGAGCTAGCATGGCTAAGCACGGCATTGACGTATCTCGCTTTTCTTGACTCAAGGTCTGCTTCTTGAATTAATATCCGTTTAGGCTTTACAGGACTAGAAGAGGAGGGGAAAAAAATAACTATATGCAAGTTGTACCACAAATGATCTTCTAGGAAAGATCAAATTACTAGCAAAGTTTTGAAAATTAAAGCAAGACATAATTGCACAGAGGTTGTTCCTGCTACTTTCAGATAACCCAAAGTAAAAAGGTTTTACTTCCAAATTTTTAAAATTCGTTTTCATAAATGAACTGTCTCACAAGATTAAACATCTTTCTAAATAACAGACAATGGGGTGAATGTCTGCTCCATTTTCAGTCAAGAGTTCAATTTTAACATTTGCTCCCAGTGTAACTTGTCAACAAACTATAAAATGGGGAAAGGAAAAATGCCAGTATATCACCTGCTCAATGAAGAAAGGAAAATGTTAACAGGTAATAAAGAAAAGCTGTAGCAATGCTTTGTTCAGGCTTCTCCCACACAAATTCTGTGTTCCACCATGAAATTGTGAAGCATCAGGATTAAAGCTCAGGCTTGGCAGAAACATGGTCAGGGAAATGTATCTTTACTTGAATTTAAAACTCCAGGATCACAGGAACGGCATTCCCGGATACTGACTGAAATAGTTTTTTTAAAAAAATGCTGCCAAATTCCAAAAGGACACAGGATGTGGTACAAAAAAATGAAAATGAACTAACAGTAATAAAGAAATAAAAAAATCTTTAAAACAGTCTAAGTACACTGTATTTTTTTTACGAAATAAGTCCCTTTTTCTGCCAGCTTCCCCAAAAGGTCAGTGGGGGAGAACCAACAGGGAAGGTGGCCGGCTGCCAAAAGACTTCCCTTCCACCTCAAAAGAAGGCTGGGATCTTTGGGATCCGACCTTTCTCTCTCCAGCCCAGCCCAGGAGTTCCCTTTCTCTGGCAGGCACCTCGTTTCAGCTCCATCTACTGAACAATCAGTATGTTTACTTAAGAACCGTAAGAGGGAGAACCGGGATTGCAGTCATTGAGAAAAGTGGTCTCGTGGGTGTCTTGCTTAACCACCCCTTCGCTAAACAACTGTGATTCCAGTCCCAATTGTGGTTATAAGTTGAGGACTTCCTGTATTTGTCTCGCCAAATGCTTTGTTAATTACTGGAAGTCAACATGGATTTTCAAGAACAAATCTTGTCAAACTATTCTTAATTCATCTTTTGAATGGATAATTGCCTTGATTGTAGAATGCTGAGTAATTTATCCCGACTTCAGCAACATATAAGTGATAAAAATACATCATGAGATTCTGATGATTCAGTTAGTTAAAAATAGGTAACATGGCATGCCATTTCATTCACCATCATCATTTTAGCCATTGTCCATCCACTGCAGGATGAAGGCCTGCATGTTTCCAATCGAGACGGTCCTAAGCTTTCTTTCGCCAGTTGGGCCCGCAATACTTGCTGATCTTGTCAATCCATCTCGTTTTAGGTCTCTTTCACGGACACTTTTAATCAAGTGGGATCCATTCTGTGACTGCCTTGGTCCACCTGCCCTCTTGGTTCTTCTTGCTATGTGAGCAGCCCATTTCCATTTCCATTCTTTTTCTCCCTTGGGGGCATCTTATACTTTCGTTTGTTCTCTAATCCATGTGTGTCTTTCTATCTTGTTTTGTGATGCCGAGCATGCTTCTTGCTATGGCTCTTTGCGCCACTCGTAGCTTTTGTATCGATTGTGAGGTTAGTGTCCATGTTTCACCGACGTATGTTAGAGCGGGTAGCACACACTGATCGAAAACTTTTCTCTACAGGTATAGGGGGAGGTTGGTCTACGCTTAGCTAGCCGAATGCCTGCCAATCACATTTAACACGCCGTTCAATTTCCTTTATTGTATCACCTTCCGTTGAGATCCATTGGCCAAGGAATATGTAGCGGTCTACTACGTCTAATTCTTCTCAGAGGACACAGGAAGACACTTTAAGCCAGGTGTGTCCGACCCCTGGCCCACATGAGGCCCTGGACAGCTAGTAATACGCCTCCACAAGATCGTAAACTTTTATCATCGTTATGTGATTAATATACATTAACTATATATTTTATACACAGCTCAAGAGAATTCCTCTTCATTCAATGCAGCTCAGGCACGCCAAAGGGTACACACCCAGGTTCTAAGCCCTGCTTTCCAGCTAGGGGAGATGGAGCTACCTCCTTCTATTCGCTTCCATTTCTGGTGACAGAGAACAGCCTGGCCCCTGACCTAAGCAGATATCTACAGCAACATCAATGGCCAACCAGGCATGCTTTCATACCATCCACAATTTGTAAAAAATAACAATCAGCGCTATGAGTAGCTACCACTGCCTAGCATCAGACATATGAAAGTTATCTTGAATAGCTTAATATTGGTTTTGAGGAAGTACAAGCTTTTAGCCCTCTGCAGGATGAAGACTGTCAACTGTTAAAAAAATCTTGTGTCGTATTTCAAACAGGAAAAATTCTTATATCCATGGAAAAGAAAAACTGGGATTTGGGGGAGTAGGGGAGGGGAGAGGAAAATAAGGAAAATAAAATGTAAAAGAAAACCAAAACATGTTAACGGCTTCCAAATCATCAACCTGGACATAGAATCTTTCTTCCATAGTAAAAGTTTTAGTGCTCACTACCATCTAGTGGGAAGCAAAGGGATAACACAACCCCATCATACGTCACACATACAAGGCCCTCAAATGCATTTCCAGATTCTGAAGAGTAATCAACTCAATCCATAACTTGTACAAAGCAGGGAAAAACAAATACATTCCAAACTCTGTGGGAATTGAGAAAGCATGCCTAACAGCATATCATTGGAAGAAGGGGAAGGGGGAGGTATTCTGACCTATTGGTTATTTTAACATCAGGAACTTCCACACAATCGTTTCTTTGGCCATTGACATGAGTGGACACTGCATGCAAGTCAACAGTATCTAATTCTTTTTCAGGCAGTGGGTTGCTTGTATTCTCGCCTCTGAGCTGCTTGTGACTTAGGGAAGTCTGTCTCTCTGAGGACCGTCCACCCACCGCACCAAATGATTCATGTTCAGCCACTAGTTGGCTTCCTATTGGCAAAACACTTGTCACTGTCTTTATTGCTTCATTATCTATTTTTCCAAACAGACCTCTCTCCAGATTCAAAGAAGCTGTTACGTCTGAATCAGCTTCTGGAATCCTAAGACCATTGTAATTTGCATCAAACTCTGCTCGATTTTGAGAGCTCTTATTCAAATATTTCTCCAAATCATTCGGGAAAACAGCCCCCTCACTTGAGCTGGCTGAAGAAGCGGTCTGAGGAAGAGGTTTTGTGCTTTCAACCTCATCCAGAGCCCTCAGAGGCTGTGCAGGTTCAGGACAAGCTAAAAGGCTACCCCTCTTCACATCCTCACAGCTATTTACTTCAACTGCTACAAAACATGGGGGGGGTTCCAGATCCTCTGCTATGAGCTCATCCTCAGCTTCACGAGAGAGTCCGGTGGGAGAATCTGGCATGTCCTCATCAGAACGAGCCAGGATGGCGTCATCCAAGTCATTATCCAAGCATCCACCGCTGCTCAGGAAAGAGCCTGGAGAAGCTGCTCTTCCACTGCTGAGGGAATGTGCCTGAGAGGATGAGCACCTGCAGGTCATACAGCGTTGTCTCTTTGTGTCTGCTGCGCCCCCTTCTTCACACTCCTCTTCTAAATGCCTCTTGCTCCCAGAACCTAAAGCGTTAGAGAAAGCAACTTTAAGAAACTACTACAGCAGACAATGCGGCTTTTCTGACCACTGTATTTTAAGGATCCCACCCTCCACTCTCCAGGTTAAAGACTAAGGAAGGATAACCTTATAACTGAAGCCCTGTTTCAATCAAAGTGGTCTCTGATTACCTGCAATCTCAGTTTTGAGAAAGTTCAAGCATGGCTTTCCTCCTCCTCTCCTGAGATTGCACATCCTTGGAAGGAGGCTTCATTATGCAAATTAAAAGTCAAGCCACCGGCTTGTTGTGTGACTAGAGTAACAAGCTAGCCTCACTGAGCTGCAGACTTCCAATAGACTTCATTTTAATAGGTAGCCTGAACAAATTTACTACAGGGACTGGAGGTCATTTCCTCAAGGCTTCACCTGCACGTCAGATTCTGCTGATGAAAGTCTATATATGAGAGGAAGTTAAACAATACCAAGATTTAGGAAAACAGAAGAAAACAAAGCAGCCCACTGTGACAAAAAGATCAAGTTGTAAGGGTAAGAAAACTGCTACTTTAACAGTATCTCAGTACTTTCTGTATTTTTTAAAAGAAGTGTAACACTTTGTTACACTTTAAAGGAGTAGTGTAGTGTTTGGTGTAGTTGTTAAAGTTAGAAACCAGATGTAGTGGTTACGTTTTAGTGGTGTAGTGGTTAAGGATAGAAATCAGGAGCATCTGAGTTCCAGTCGTACTTTAGCCACAAAGCCAGCTGGGTGACTTTGGGACAGCCATTCCTCATGGCCCTAGGAAGGAGGCAATGGTGAACCACTTCTGAAAAAATCTGGTTAAGAAAACTGCAGTCATGTCCAGGCAGTCACTAGGAGTCAAAATTAATTCAAAGGTATAAATAAGCTTAAAAAATAAAATTGTATTTTTAAGTCTTTTTCAAAGAGGAAATATTTTTAAATGATTTATTGGTATTAGTAAAATTTAATGCCATATGGGTATTTTAAAGGCTGTATTGGTACAGTATGCTAACCATGTTTAATCTTTCTTTAATCTGTTGTAACTTCAAACGGTCACTAAATGAATTATTGTAAATCAAGGACTAACCATAATGCGATCCATATAATAGGAAAAGTATTCTCAGCAACAAAGTCCTAATTTTCCCAGCCAAAGGGAAGATACAGTATTTCTATTTCACAGTGACTTATTTACACCAAAAATTTTCAAAACCAACATTCAATAAACAAGTGTTTATGCCAATTAATTTATGCTTCTAACAATACACTACACTTTCAGGGTCTACTTGGAAAGTTAAGATACTGTGAATTGTCGTTGGGAAGTTAGCTAATAATAAAATGGCAGCCACAGTGGATGTAGTTAATGAAAACATCTCTGCATGCCAAAAAGCAGGTGACCCTGACCACGGGATGCTGTCTACACCTTAGACCTTTGCTTCTGGTCTACTTTCAAAAATACTGCCACTATCTTCTAGGAGCGCCCAGGGGATATGCCAAAGACATTTGTCGTGGTATTAGAAACTAGAAATTTTGAATGAATTCCTATTTAATCTTTGGAGACTAGTATCTCTCTATTGCTTCCTGTCCATTCAGCAGTGGGCTATTTTAAATTTTACTGACCTTTTTAAAGTTAGTACGTTTATGACTTTTCTAATCATAGGAGAACAAATGCTAGACATAAACTTTTAAAAGTAAAGACATCTATTAAAAAAACTAGGTGAGGCGAATTTATACTGAGGATAGTTCCACTTTAAGGAGAACTTGATCTCTTGGGTCATGGGAGAAGATCCAGACCAACGGTCTCCACATCTCTCTTGCCAAGAACCTAAAGCTCTGAAAAAAAATCTGGAAAAATGCATTTTGTTTGATATTTAAAAGGCAGGCACAGTAATGTTCGAGTAAATGGATTTATTCTGAGTTTGTTCGTATAAATCCCCATTTATTTTTTTTTTACCCAGATGGGTACACTACAAAACCGGTTTAAAAGGGCAGCGAGAAGCCCTCCTTGTTCCAGCCCGTTTCTCCTCCAGCCTCCCCGCTTCTCTGGGGGCGGCTGGGCCCCAAATCGGAAAAATGCCCCCCCCCCGCTTTCTCTTCCGGACCCCCGTCTACCGAAGTGCCCTCCCGCCGTCTGCGATGCCCTCCTCCGGCCACAGCCCCATCCCAGACGCCCCCCCCCCAGGCTAGGGGGCCGCAGGAAAGTGCCCCCCGAGTTCAACCCCCTCAGCCAGCCCCACGAAGCCCTCCCGGCCGAGAGCCGCCTACCATGCCGCCGTCTCTGCTCCCCCCCCCCAGCACTCACCCGCCGCCATCTTCGCGGGAACGGCGCCGGCCCCGCCTCCCGCCCCGCCCCTCCGATCGGCCTTTCGGTGCTCGTCGGAAGCGGGCCCAGGCCGGGGAGCGGAGCGCCGAGCGGCGGCTGATGCAACGCGTGGGGGGCGCCGGCCGGGAGACAGCTGGGAGACCGGCGCGCGAGAGGTTCGCTTCTTTCCGTCCCCGCCAGGCCTCCCGTGTCTGCCCTGCCGAAGGCTGGCCGGAGGGAGGGAGGGAGGCGGCCTGCAAGAGCCTCGGTGGGCCATGCCTGCCTGATCTCCCCGCTTGATCCTGGGGGCGAGGGCGGGCGTTGCGCTGGGGCGGCGCCGGCAATAACGGGCTTTTCGTCGGGTTGCAGACTAGGGAGGCCGCCGAGTGAGTCAGCATCTGGCGGGGAGTCGCCATGGGGGAAGATCTGACCGCCCAGGAGAGGCTTCACCTGATCACCCGGAACTTGCAGGTACTTGGCTGGGGGTGGTGGTGAAGAAGGGGCGGTGGGATTCAAGGGGACAGGAAGAAATTGGCCCTTAAACTGGACAACCCTAAGCACCCTGGCCCGGGAGAAGCTAAAGTCATTATTCAAAGAACTGGTTGTAAGTCACATTTTTCAGTGCTTATAACCGCAATTGAGACCAGATTTTCTGTTGTTAAGTATGACTTTTTGGGCATGATTGTTAAGCAAATCACTGCAGTTGTTAAGTGACTCATGCGCTCTTAACTGAATCCGGCTTTCCCCGTTGCTTGCTGGATGACGGCTGGGAAGGTCAGAAACGCCCATTGCCTGACCCCAGGATACTGCAACTGTCATAAATACATGCTGGATGCCAAGCAACCAGATTTTGATCAGTTGTAAGCGTGAAGACTGATTGCAGGTCACATTTTTCAGTGCTGCTGTAACTTTGGTTACTAAATAAATGGTTGTAAGTCGAGGACTACTTGTACAAATCAGTATTTTAACAGTGCATTAGTTATTTCTTGTGCGAGTCTGGTGTTTTGTGGATGCTGGCCTTGGGAAGAGTTCTGCTGCAGTCAAGGCATTTAATCTTGACTTTCGGTAAATTCCAGCAGATACACTAAACAATCCTATGTGTTTGCAGGAGGTTCTTGGAGAGGACAAATTGAAAGCCATCCTGAAAGAACGGGAGCTGAAGATTTACTGGGGGACAGCCACCACGGGCAAGCCTCACATCGCCTACTTCGTGCCCATGTCCAAGATTGCAGACTTCCTCAAGGCTGGCTGTGAGGTTGAGCCAACTCTGCCTTTGCTTTGGATCCTTAGGGGGGAGTCATACTGCTGTCTCCATATGGGTCTGGAGGGCCTGTGGAATATTGGAGACCTCTGGAGAGGGAGACATGCAAAGCTGGCTGGGGAATTCTGGGAGTTGAAGTCCACCTGCTTAAAAGCTGCCAAAACAGTGCCCAGAGTGGGGGGGAACTAAGCTCGCCGTCTTCGCCTACTTTGGGGCTGGTTCAAGAAGTGAACAGGATGCCTCGCAGTTGTGCGGCTCTCTTCAAATGCTCTCCTCCCCCAGTCAGGTTGCCTTTTTATTCTGGTTTGGCTCTAAGGGTAGGGGGATTTTCTGACTTCCCAGACTCGCCCTCACACCAGGGCAAGGGAAGCGACATCGCCTCCTCTTGCCTCACCCAAAGGACAGCAGCCCATATCTCTCCCCCCCCCCCGTCTCTCAGGTGACCGTTCTGTTCGCTGATCTGCATGCCTACCTAGACAATATGAAGGCTCCGTGGGAACTTCTGGAATTGCGTACCCAGTATTACGAGGGGGTCATTAAGGCGATGCTGGAGAGCATTGGGGTGCCCCTGGAGAAGCTTCGGTTTGTCCGAGGGACCGACTTCCAGCTCAGCAAGTAAGTTGGGCAGGCCGAAGCTGCCCTCTTCCTGCCAGGAGAAGTCCTGGGGGAGATAGAATCTGATGCCAAAGGCAGATTATAGAGGGAATTATAGAGGCTTAAGAGATACAGACGTGGGATAAATAAATATACATAACGGTTAATGGAAATCTTTCCTGCTTCCAAGGAGGATTGCTGTTGCTCTAGATCAGGGGTCCCCAACCTGTGAGCCACGGCCCACTACCGGGCCATGGCCTGCTGGCCACCGGGTTTCGGGGCAGGCTGGCCAATGTGCACATGTTTGTGCATGCACACACCCCCAGTCGCGCTAGCGCCACCACCATTATGCAAAAGAGGCGCCATGTGGTGAAAACGGCTCCATGTCACCGTTTGTATCTTTGTATCATGGCTTGCATTCTGTCTGCCTAGGGAATACACCCTGGATGTCTATCGACTGTCCTCTGTTGTCACGCAGCATGATGCCAAGAAAGCTGGCGCAGAAGTGGTGAAACAAGTGGAACACCCCCTCCTCAGTGGTCTTCTCTACCCTGGGCTGCAGGTAGAGTAACATTCGAGGACCCACCACAGGTCATGGAAGAGAGAAAGGGACATCTGTATGTTTAGCCAACTGTTTACCTTTTTAAAAAACACAATCTGAGTTCATGGTATGTGTGCAGGGCCCAGCACTTGTAGAGTGATAAGAATAGCGCAAACACCCTGGTTTTAAGTCTATTGGAAGTGATTCAGCCTTGGGCTTCCCCAGTCTCGGTATTTGAGGAGCAGCACACCTTTCTGAGGCATATGTGTGAATTCATTTCCAAGCTGAGCTTCATTTGCAAATGTTCCGTAGACTAAATAACAGCAGGCTGCATAAAAACTAGAATGGCAGTTGTGGTTGACCAAAGGAAATGGCCAGCCTACTTGTTTCTTCATGGCCAGCTTCTGGAGCTCGTTGCCTCTCAGCTGTGGCCCTTGCACATGTCTGGTGAAGACAACATGGGGAGCACTCTCTTAAAGTTCCTAAGGAGTCCTTTTTTCTTGCTCTTGCTGCAGGCACTGGATGAAGAGTACCTGAAAGTTGACGCACAGTTTGGAGGAGTGGATCAGAGAAAAATTTTCACCTTTGCAGAAAAGGTGAGCGCAGAGGCTGCCCCTTCTCCAATATGCTGGCCAAAATTCTGTTGCCTTTGGTTATAATAATAATAATAGTAAAGTTGGAAGGGATGTTGGAGGTCATCTAGTCCAACCCCCTGCTCAGGCAGGAAACCCTACACCATTTCGGACAAATGGCTGTCCAGCCTCTTCTTAAAAACTTCCAGTGTTGGAGCATTTACTGCTTCTGGAGGCAGGCTGTTCCACTGGTTAATTCTCACTGTCAGGAAGTTTCTCCTAGTTCTAGGTTGCTTCTCTCCTTGATTACTTGTAACCTGGTGTCCCATGGCTAGACCAAGATATTTTCCAGGAGCTCTCACCTGCCAGCATAACTTCCTGGGATGTTCTCCCTGCCTAGAGGCTTCAGTCTGGAAGGGGCATTCTGGAAGGGGCATTCTTTTGGCAATTTCTCTCCAGGTGTGGGGAAAGCCCTGGCTGAAGGGGAGGGAGTCTCTCTACGGAGAGGAAAGGGACAATCCAGCTTCGTCTGTTCAGGAGAAGGAACCTCTGAGCCCGGCTTAGGTCTACATCTGCCGTTGTTCAAGGGAAGGCAGAGTCTTGTGATATTGTTGTGATCAACCATAAAATAGCTGCTGGGGCCGATCCACAAGCAGTGCTGGTTGCTTGGCCTGTGACACCACTTCAGCCCCCTTCTTGGAGGAGCGGCGTGTGTCTCTTCATCCACTAAGCCACCTCTCTTCCTCTCAGCCTCCTGAATTGTTTGTGTGTGACCTGTGTGTGTTTCTCGCTCTGCTGTAGTACCTCCCGTCCCTGGGCTACACCAAACGCATCCATCTGATGAACCCCATGGTGCCTGGATTGACGGGAACCAAGATGAGCTCTTCGGAAGAGGTGGGTCCCCAACAGCCCAGGCCGGCCGGCGAGAGAGAGCTGTCCTGGGCTGGCCCTTTCAGTGGTTTTCAGAGGTGCTCCTAGAACGGGTAATTAATCAAACTGAGCATAAAGGAAGGGGGTTCATAAATCAGATAAAATTAGATGAGTATATTGAAGAAACAAAATGAGGGGGGGGAATAGAATACTTGAAAAAATGAAGAAGAAACCGATATCCCAAACCATGTTTCATCAAAGCAGTGAGATGATTTTGCCAACCTCAAATGAACAGCCTCAAAGCAAAATTAGCCTGTTGACATGAATACATTTGATGGATTCTTACACAGCAGTGGAATCCACCTGATTCAGTGGCTGCTTTTTAAATCCATTGTATCTGATGGTACCCAAAATGTGGCACGAACACTACCTTGGTCAGTGGCAGGAACAGGCCTGCAGGTATCTTAGACGGTGGTTGCCCAGGAGATGCCCCAGCCATCGCGAATGCATTCATCGTCCTACCAGCGGAACCTGCAGGGAGAGGCTTGGGATTCCAGCTGATTGTTCACACGCTCGCTCAGTGCAAATGTAACCAAAGAGAAAAGGTTGGGGAGTGATGTTCAAGGATTCAATCAATATCAAGGGGTAGATAATATACCTGTGATATTAACTCTGATCCGGGGTTTCTCAACTGTAGCAACTTTAAAATGAGTGGACCCACTCCCAGAATTCCCCAGCCAGCATGCATTCATGCTGGGGAACCATTCATGGTGGCTGGGGAATTCTGTGAGTTAAATATCCATCCATCCATCTTAAAGTTGCCAAGGTTGGGAAACAATGCTGTAATTGATTAATATAAATACACCCTATTGAAATCCTATTATAGTTCCTCTTTATTTAAAAAACTTCAAATTGTGCCTAAAGAGTAATATTGGACCATCTTCTCTTTTTCTCCCCTTTTTAGGAGTCTAAGATTGATCTTTTGGACCGAAAAGAGGATGTGAAAAAGAAGCTTAAGAAGGCTTTTTGCGAGCCAGGAAATGTGGAGAACAACGGGGTCTTGTCCTTTGTCAAGCACGTGCTCTTCCCCCTCAGATCAGGTGAGGGGCAGAGGGCTCAGCGCTGGCCTTGCTAGGGGGGAGAAGCAGGAGGAGAAATATGGCCAGGAGAACAGGGAGCACAGAGACTGGTTTCCTCCTACCCAAATCTCATGTCTTTCCACCAGCCGAAAAAGGAATCCTAAGCAGCGGGAAATACGGAAGGATGTGCCTGACAGCATTCCAGGATCCTGAAGCGCGGGGGGGGGAGGGGAGGGGAGTCTCTTTACAGCGGCAAAAGAAGTCATTGGTGGCCCAAGCAAGGGATCTCTGGGAGAGACCATCTGCCATGTCGCTAATTCAGTCAAAATCTACCTTCTTATAATTTTGGCTTTTAAAGCATTTCTTGCTGTGGGAATTACAGAAGTGAAGTACCAACAGGAGAGAATATTTGCTGTTCAGGGCTGATCTGTGGGGTCCTTGGTGCTGTCTGAGCTTGGTGGTGTTCTTGCAGAATTCATGATCGAGCTAGTGCTGATGACGTTACCTGGTTTGGGTAATGAAATGTCTGCAAGAAAACAAACTCAGAGAGCACCAAGGACTCCACAGAAAGGTGGGGCTTCTTGCTCCTCTACCCGATGGTGCTTCAGGAAATGCTGCTCCATTCTCCTTGTAGCTCCTCTGTCCAGGCCAAACAGGTTCTTCTTCCACATCAATATTATTTCCTGTCCCATTGTCTGTCTTGGTTCCTTTTGTGATTTATCTACCATCTTCAGCCTGGATTGGTCCCAGTTCTCCAGCTGAAATTTGGCCTAGCTCCCAGGGCTCTGAAATGAACTTTGCATGCTTTGGGCCTGGGTGAAAAACCTGTTTGGCCTGAAGTCAGGTGGGCATTAAGTGACATCGTTATAGGTGGTTGTGATGCCCAGCATCATCCTACCCAAAAGAATTTTTGAGGATGCTGGTATTAAATGTGGGCCTATGTATGTGACTGACCTCTTGTTTAACAGACATCTTCACTTTTCTGTAGAGTTCGTGATCCTTAGAGATGAGAAGTGGGGAGGAAATAAAACTTACACAAGCTATGGGGATCTTGAGAAGGACTTTGCTGAGCAGGTAATAAATGGGATTTTGATTTTGCAAACTCTGGTTTCCTCCCCTGTATTCAGGCAGAGAATTTGTGGTAATTTCCTAGCTGTACTTTACTTTCAGATGTTTGGAGAAAAACTTTCTGTCATTCTGCATACTTACTAGAGCTGGTCCCAGAGTCACGGAGAGTCACATACTTTATATATTAAAAATACACGCAAGTCAGATTAATGCAAAGGCAAATGTTTTTTTATAGCTTTCATCAGATTGATGTAGAACAACAAAGGGCCAGTTTGCATATAATAAATTGAAATGGTTTAGAATTCTACCTTATTGGAAACAAGCGGGTAATTTGTACATATTGCTCAATATCTCTCACTAAATAAATCAGGATGAATGCGATTTATTCAGCTGTAAATCACCCCGTTTGTTCAAAACGGGAAGCAAATTGACTAGACAAAATTGTTAAGCACAGGGCAAGTCCCCTTCATTTTCCAATTTCCTATTATAAAGGGTGTGAGAAAGATTGAAACTCTGGAAGCTGTTTTTGGACTCATAAAACAGTTCAGTGTGTGTGGGGGGGTGTCCAGTAATCAAGGATATCTGTTGAATTAGAGTTGGGGGTCTTGCAGATCACCACATAAATGACATTATGCAAACAATTTACAGCCAAAAAAAATTGGACTGCTGCACACAAAGCCCATTGCATCCAGTTTTTATAAGTTCTCTGTCAATATTACTAAGTTGTAATAGAGGTAATTCTTGCTTAATAACTGGTCAATTAGCAACCATTCAGAGTTTCAACGGATCTCCCCAGAGCTATTTGCAACTAGATTTCAAAGTTCAGATTCCCCCCCCCCCCGCCCAAAATCATATGCTTGCATTTTAGGTTTTTGGTAACCAGCTTGTATTTATGACCATTTGTAGTGTCCCATGGTCATAAGACTGTGATTTTTGATGGGCTTTGCCAGTTTTCAATGTTTGCTTCCAGTTTCCTGCAAAAATGCCCATTGTGGAAAACAGGTCTGTTTAACCCCAGCTGTGTTTGCTTAATGATCACCACAAAAATAGCTTGTAAAATTCCAGCTTCAGTTATGTTGATAAGTTAAGAACTGTCTGGCTTCTGCTTTGATCTTGTGACCAGGTTGTCCATCCGGGAGACTTGAAAAACTCCATCGAGGTGGCCTTGAACAAACTCCTGGATCCCATCAGAGAGAAGTTCAGCAGCTCACAAATGAAGAAGCTGGCCAGCCGTGCATATCCTGAGGCCTCCACAGCAAGTAAGGCCCACAAGAATTGAGGCGGGGGGGGGCTCCATCTGGGCTGGGCTGCCACATGCCTAGTGGGCGAGATGCAAGCTGAAGTTGGGGCTTAGAGCCCCCCCCCAGACCTCTCACCTTTCTCTGTTTTTCTTTGCATTCTCCATTTCTGCTTTGTGCCATTCCCCCTCCCCCCCACACACATGGCCTGCTCATCTGCAGTGTAGAGTCCTCAGTGAGAAAGGGCATAGGAATCAGGCAGCAATAATAAGATGTATTCCATAGCTTTATTTGAAACCAACACCAAAAGCAAAAATAAAAGCATACCAACCATACCAAGGAAAAGCAACTGAGAATGATACATAAAAATAATTTGCATTTATCCTTAATCTTTGGTCTTGTTATGTTCTTTATTGTGTTCATTTTTCAGACAAAGGTGTCCTTCCCTGATCCAAAGAAAGATGTGCTTACAGTTTTGCAATAATAAACCTAGTGGCAACAGGAATTGAGTCCATTTATATATTGTATCAGTGTATAGGTGTTGGGAATAATGTACATTACAATGTACCAACAGCAGGATTCATTGTAGAAAATTATTCAGTGGGTTTCCCCCTTTTTTTCCAAAGCTTTTGATCAAAGGAACATTTCTACCAAAGATGGTAAGATGTGCCAGTTTAGGGAGGCCAGGCTGGTTTGGCTCAACACATCAAAGTCTACTGTTGCCTTTTGAAATTCCAGCTCTCTAATAAAACCTTTATTTTCTCTGCTGTTTACTTGCAGAATCTGCCGTAAAGGGCTCCACAAAGAACTCCGACTCCGAAGAAGTCATCCCGTCCCGAGTGGATCTCCGGGTTGGCAGAGTGCTCAGTGTGGAAAAGGTGAGGTGCTTTTGGTGCCACCCTTTGTGGGTGCCGTTAAAGTTAGGCCTGTCACACTGGAGGCGCTTTCTGCTGGTCACTGATGTTCCCGTTCTGATACCTACAGCATCCTGATGCCGATACGCTGTACGTGGAGAAGATTGACCTGGGGGAGGCCCAACCTCGTACAGTGGTCAGTGGTCTGGTGGAGTTTGTGCCCAAGGAAGAGCTCCAGGACAGGCTGGTGGTGCTGGTCTGCAATATGAAGCCCCAGAAGATGCGAGGAGTGGAGTCCCAGGCCATGCTGCTCTGCGCTTTCAGGTTAGCAAAGGAAGTGGGGCAGGGGCTGAGGTGCTGGAAGCGCCTTTCACGTTGCGCTCACGTTCTCCCATGGATGCCTTCTTTCTCCATCGCCTCAGTTCTGGAGATCCCTGCCGAGTGGAGCCCTTGGACCCCCCAGCAGGCTCCTGTCCTGGAGAACGAGTGTTTGTAGAAGGCTTTGAGAATGGCCAACCGGATGATGAGCTGAAGCCCAAGAAGAAAGTATTTGAGAAGCTGCAGGTAAGTAGAGAAGCTCCGTCTTGGTGCAGGTTTGCACAGAGGCTTAAGTGGCATCCAACTTGGGGGGTTGGCAACCCAAACAGCTCCCCTCGCCCAGGTGTGTGGGCATCCTAAGAGTGGCCGGAGCAGCCTTTGCAGAAGGGCTCAGGAGCAGCTGGAAGAGCTGGGGCTGTTGCATGAGGCTGCCTGTGGCAAATCGGCGCTAACACATGTCCCATGGAAGAGCAGTCTGCCAAACCCTTTGAAGCATCCCAGCCTCTTATGTGGCCCATTAATTCTTTGCTCTCTCCAGAGAGGAAGAAGGAAGTGTAAGGGATGGAGGTACTTAACGGCATTATTTCTAGTTCTGGAAAAAGAACTGTGAGCTTGGATTTCTTGATCCATTTTTGATGGATGTTCAATGGCAGCTTCAAAATAATTAGGTTATTTATTGGATATAACAACAGTGCTAGAGAGCAGCAAGGACTAGCCTGTGGGTGCTTGGGTGTGTGTTGCCTAGGGACTGTGCTGTTGTGTTGGCTCTTTTATTTCGGAGCCCACTGACTTGGTAAAAGAGCCCTGGCAGCCCTGGACCTTTTGAGCAAACGTGCTTAGGAACAGTCTTTGACGTTGAGTCTGGCACTACCTCCTTTTTTTCTCCTCAGGCTGACCTCCAGATTTCTGAGAACTTTGTGGCCCAGTGGAAGGGGAAGAATCTCACGACTGCTCTGGGGAGCCTGACGTGCAAATCTCTGAAAGGGGGCAGCATCCGCTAGAGCCCCAGCCTGCCCCTCTCCTGCGCCCACCCCCCCATGTTCTGCCCACCTCTCCTCCTCCTCCTCCTCCTCCGTGCTTCCATCAGTGATCTTTGTGCAGCTGCACCTGACCCAGGAAATCATGAACCAGCCGGTGAGGAAGGAAAACTGCTTCCAGCAGTGACAGGGCCCTGGATTTCCTTCTCTCCCAACGTGTCCGAGGTCTGTCTGTGTTGCAGGAGAAAGAGGCAGTTGCTTCCTTTCACTGGCTGGTGAAGGTGACAAAAGCTGCTTCTTGTGAAACTTCATCCTGGGAGAATGAGATCCCCCCCTTCAGACTAATCTTCCCTCTGCGGGGAGTTGCTTCCCACCGATGGCCACAGCAGCCTTCCATCCAGCTGACGGGGCGGTCTCGCTTCTTGTCCTCTGCTGCTTCCGTTGAGTTCGGATCCGGGCTAGAGAAGAAGAGCTCCCTCGGAGGAGCAGACCCATAAGCTCCGTCATGAAATATCGTCATGTTTGTCTCAAAATGCAGTGCCCCCTTTTCAGACGAACTGATTGTGCATCGGCTAATTCTGTAAATCAGGTTGCCAAACCTGGACACCCCTGCTGTAAATGATGCATCGTATTCCAGAGATAAAAGCTTGATTTGGTTTCTGGGCAAAAGATGTAAAAGGGTTTTGTCTAGAGTGCTTGCACAAACCATATTAAGAAAATAATTTTGTTAGGCCACGCAAAATGAACTCCAGAAAGAAGCTGCAGGTGGTTTGCAGAAACAGGCAGACCAAAGGCCTGAACATTTGGGACCCGGCACCTCACAAAGCACTGGGGGTATTTAAGGCATTTGAATATGCAGGAAGTCCCAACTTGCGACCCTAATAGAGCCTGCCCATTTGTAAACCACGATGGTTGTAAAGCAGGTTATCACCCTGTTACTTTTTTTTTTGCAACAAAAGTTGTTTCAACAAAAACAACTTAATTGCAGTCGCTTAATTGTGGGGCACAATAAATGGCCACAAATGCAGGCTAGTTGCCAAGTATCTGAAATGCGTTCACATGACCACGGGAGGGCTGTCGGAATTGGGTTGTAAGTACCTTGGGGGGGGGGTTATGCTGTAACTTTGAATGGCCACTAAGCGGCTGCTCATAAGCCGAGGACTACCTGTAGCTTGGTATGTGCTTCCTTTTTGTGGAAAGCCATCCAAAGCTCAGAAAGAGTGTAAGATGGGGAAGTTGGAAACCGTGAGAGAAAAAGACGTCAAGAGAGACGTCAGCTGGGGCTTGCTTGGAGCCCCCAGATCAAGCTGAGGGGAAGGGTTGAGGGCGGAAGAGCCCTTTGCAAACATCCGTTAACCTTCAAAATCAAACCCTCCAAAACTTGGCAATTGTCTCCGTTTTGGAGGTTTCGAAGCAGCAGGATGGCTGTCTTGAGCCTCTTGTGGGCCTCCTCAGCACCCGCTTTTCCTTTCTCACCATCCGAGGCAGCCAACCTGCCCTTCCTCTCCCCCTCCTCGTATCACAGGAAAGAAGATTCAGCAAGCAAGCTTTTAATCAGTCATTTTACAAATGCACATTCATCTTTTTTAAAACAGAATTGACCTTTTTTTTTTTTTTTAAAAGGAACCCTTCTCTTTCTCTACCATAGTGGAAATCAAATCAACAGACTCCAAAGTTTTCCAAGGTGTAGAGAGCAGCTGCCAGCTGTCCAAGAGAAGAAAAAAGCGAGGGGGGGGGAAGGGAAATTGGGAGGGGGAGAGAAAACCAGGCAGAGCTTTTTGGTCTCCCTTGCAGCCGTGAGCGCCTCCCCTGCTGGCTCTCCAGACAGCCACCCAAGTCTGGATGGTGCCTTGACCATCTTCTCCCCCCTGCTGAGGCCCCTGCTCTTTGCACATGGGCCGAAGAACAGAGGCCTGGATGTGCACTAGCGATGTCCAGCTGGACTTCTGGTGGAGACTGAAAACCCTGATCTCACCCTGATCTCCTTGAGGATGGTAGCAAGCCTCCCACAGGGTGCCCCGGGGCTGAGGACCTGGGGAGAACATTTGCCACGGCAGGCACGTGTGGTTGTTTAGGAAGGCAGGAGAGCCCCGGTCTCAGCTCCCCCTTTGCCCTTCTGCAGAGGGTCTCCTCGGAGTCTTCTCCAACCAGGTTGACTATTAAGGAAGATAATAGTTACTTAGCATTGTTAACTATGCCCAGCCCTTTCCTTGCACTTCTGGCAGGAGACCACAAAACCACCCTTGTCCGCAGCTGCCTCTACCTGAGCGCTCCCATCTTCCCAGCCAGAAGGCTAGACACGGGCGTTGCAAGTGATCTGGACCCATCCTGGAGGGCTCCCATGCCCGAGGCTGCCCTCACCACATTCTGGGTACCACAAAGACCTCTGGGATGAGCCACTGCTGGCCACGCCAGGTGGGGGAGAGAAGATCCTAACAAGGACACTGCAGATGCTCCTGGCCAGATGGGGACATCCCGACTCACCCCCCCCCCCGAGTGTTTCTGCATCCAGACTTTCCCTTCAGCCAAGGATGGAATTTGGGCCCCCAGCACCCCCAGCTTCTCTACACCCCCAGCTTCAGCCGCCCCAAAGAAGGGCTACAAATCGGATCCAATTACTCTGCATCTCTCTGGGCCCATTGGCAAGAAATGGGCAGATTCACCACGAATAAAACTCCAGTGCAGGCGCCCCTGACCTTATCACTTGGATTTCTTGGGAGGGGGAGAAGGAAAGTCTGGCCTGAAGTGGTTCCCCTACCCAATTTGTCAGTGGATCCTCTGTTCTCATGACCGGACTGGAATGTTTTGGTGCAAAATTCAGTGGCTTTTTTGCTCTTTTGGCAGTGAACAGCTACATTCCAGACAGCTGCCTGGGCTTGCTAAGTCTTGTCGGTGTTGTGCCAGGTGCCTGCTCACTACTCATGTCCATTGCAAGACAGCTCAGAGATTCTCCCACTCCCATTGGGGGGGGGCTCCCCTAAGGTAGCGTTCACCGCACAGGTGAAGAGAGACTGGGAAAAAATGGTGTCTTTTGGCAGTTGCACCATCTTCCAGGCTGCCATTTGTGCTTTTAGCAGGTGCAGGTGAGGGGGGGTTCCCTACAGGCACCCCCTACCCGGAATCAGCTGTTTGCAACAGCCAGAATCTGCCCACTGGAGTCCAAAGCAAAACTACCAGCAGAGCCTCTTCTGGGACCCAGCACTGTCCGGGAAGACTGAGCAGGGATTTCCCACAATGGCCGTCCTCCTCACGTCCCACTGAGAAAGTGCTTCCATGCCACATGGGTGTGCAAGCGCAGGCCATTTTCTCTCCTCCCCCCACTCCCCAAATGCACACTGAATAGCAACAGACAATGCAACCCATTAAAAAGGCATGGGGGGGGGGTGAACTGCAACAAGCTGCTCCAGTTTTGACCATCTTCCCGGCAGATGCTGAGTTCTCCTCATCTTATGCTACCTTAAACTGTTTTCTCACACCAAATGGGAGAGGGGGGGATTCAACATCACCAAACCAAGCAGGACCAACAGGAGGTTTGCGTCCAGGGAGAGACGGGAGGGGGGAAAGGGATGCGCCCCTTTGTCCCCGGGTGTAAGAGAGAGTTGCGCTGCTGAGGACTTTGAAGCCACTCCCCCGGCTGCATCAATGTCAAGGCCACAGGAGAAGGCTGCAGGTTGGTGTTCTTTTCTTCAGCGCCACCACCAAAGCTTCTCTTCTGGCCCTAAGAGGTCCCTGAGAATATTTTTCTTTCAAAATCCCTGTATCTTACGGGCAAACAGCCCTCGTAGGGTCCTCCTTCACACCACCTCCTCTTTTCCGTCTGCAAAGAGAGAGTCGGGTTACTTTCACTTCCCAAACAATAAGATTTTGCAGCAGAATTCAAGAGCCTTGGGCCAAGCCTGTACCCTCCCCATTTTTTACCACTGCCCATCTCATGTAAAAGAAAGACAGGCCTGGCAGCTGGTGGCCACCAGGGTGGGGGCCCTGATGGCCCAGACCTTCTAAAGGGGCAGGGAGTTCCTGTCTCCTCTAGGCTGCCCAAAGGCAGCACAAAATGACTTGCAATGGTGCTGGAGCAGCACCAGACAATGCCCACCTCCAGGGTCGTTTCAACAGAAGGGGGGCAAATGCCACCCCTCCAAACACTGGCAGGCCCGGAAGCAACAGCAGCCAGCTCCCAAATCTCAGGAGCAGCTGGCTCAAAGTTGGCAGGGAAATTGCCATATAAAGGCCAGCTTAGGAAACAGAAGTCCCACTACTGCAAACCCCGGGAAAAGGTCTTGGACTTCTTGCTCCACCCAGCCCCCCGCATCTCCCCTACAACAGGAAGGGCACCCCGTGCGTCTGCCACCCACTCACCTTGTCCTGTGGGGCTCCTCCGCAACTGCTTGTCAGGTCCAGCTGGGGGGCTGCCATCGCCAGACTCCAAGGCAGAGGTCCGGCTCCCAGAGCCCACCTTAGTCCTCTCCTCAAGCACTGGTTCCTCGGCTTCAGAGGGCTTTGGGCTTTGAGGGGAGGGCCTGCGCCCCGGCCCAAGAGAAGGCTTCTTGGCAATGGGAGGGGGGATCTTCTGGTGCTTGGGGGTCTTGGCTGAGCCCTGCAGATGAAGCTCCGGGGCCGCTGTGGATCGCTGGCTGGAGACAGTCATCAATTCGGCCACCAGGTTTTTCTGCAGGCTGGCCTGGGCCTCCGACGAGGATGCAGTTTCAATGACCAGCTTTTTGGGGCTCTTGGCAAAGATGAAGCTGGCGGTGGAGGCAGGGGATTTGTGGAGAGGGGACACCGGGCCGTTGCTAGCCGGGGCAGAAGAGGTGCCTGGCAGCGCCATCCGGCTCCCAGTCTTCCTCTCAGCCATTCCGAGACTCATGGCTTCCCTGGAAGTCAAGGTGGAGGCCTTCAGTCGCACAGCCTCATGCAGGGGGTTAAGCCCCTCTTTCGAAGCAGGCTGTCCCCCCCTCAAGGACAGGGACTTGCGGAGAGGCTTCTGGGGGGCTGAGGGGGCCGTCTTCCCATCTGTGGCCATGTTTGCTCTGCTGGACTCCATGGAGGTCACGGGCCCGCCAGCTGGACTGATCCCAGGGCCGTGGGCCTCCACGTCAACTGAGCGCAGGCGGACCATCTGCAGCAGGGATGGTGTAACGATGGGCAGGCTGGCATCCTCCTTGGGCACCGAGACAGCCTTGCTGCGCGTGGCAGGCTCCTTCTTGAGGTCGGGATGGGAGCTGGGGGGCGGCTTCTTAATCTGGGGGGGAATACTGGAGGGCACTGCAGCCCCTGAGGCAGTGGGGTGCCTGGAGCCCAACTGAGAGCTGGATAGTTCTCCACCTGGAGAAAGGTTGGGAAGTGGACACGGCTCTGTGCTTGGGGGTGGCAGGGGCAGAATTCTTGGCTGCAGGAAGTTTGCAGACACCACGGTGGGGAAGCAGGGAGGTGTTCCATCTTCCTGCCCTGCAGGGTTGGCTGTTTGGGGGTCTGGAGGGGGCTCTGCACCACCTGCTTCCACAGAGGGTGCTTCCCCAGACTCCGTCTGCAAGAGTGGGGGAGGCAGCAGGAAGCAGGCCTCATCTGGCGGAGGGAAGTCAGCCATGGACAGATCCTGCTCATCCAGCAGGGGCGGGGGCGGGGGGAGCCATAAGGGGTCTGTGGAAGCCCCCAGCTCAACCTCGGAGGGAACCAGCGCAGTTCCAGGGTCCTCAGGACTCGGCTCGGCCTTCTTCACCGGGGGCGGAGGGGGGTGGTATGCTGGTGGAGGGGACGGTGGGGGTGAGCCCTCCTTGGTGAGAGGGCTGGGCTGCTTGCGGGCTTGGCTGCCAGGGGGCAAAGCAGCCACCATCCCTTCCTTGCTCTTTGGCTCGGTGGGGGGTGGGGAGAAGGGAGCCGGGACTTTTGGATGGGGAGGGATCACAAAGCGGTCAACATAACGTGGGGCGGCAGGAGAGGAGGCCAGGAGGGAGCCGGGGGTGGGCGGGGCCGTCCCTTCAGGGGGCGCAGGGTCGGAGGCCAAGGAGGAGAGGGAGGTCAGGGAGGAGGAGGAGAGGGAGGGTCCTGGGGACTGTAGGGAGCAGATGCGCTCCGGCTTCTTCGGCTGCGGCCTCTTCTTCCCCGGGGACACGGCATGGGAGAGGAGGCTTTTGGGGTGCAGTGTGGGGGTGCCGCTCTGGCTGGAGTAGCCGCTTGATGGAGACATGGTGCGGCCAAAGCGATGGGGAGAACCAGGCTCCTGGGCCTCGCTCCCATCAGTCTCCCGCAGCTGGCTGACCCTCCCTGGGCTCCGGGCAGAGAGATCTGGTGAGCAGGCCAGATTGCTGGACTGCAGGCTGCTGGTCCCACCCAAGTGGACGGGGGAGAAGACGTCGTCCTCGTTGGGCAGGCTGGGGTGTTGTGCACCTTCCCGGTGGGGCCTCCGCTCCGGCTTGGGAGGCAGCCCCGTTCCTCGGGGCGCCCCTTCAGCTTCCAGCTGCTGGGCCTTCTGGTGCAAGGAGTACGTCCTCCGGGGGGGCAAGGGGGCCGTCTTCATCTTCCGTAGTGAGACACTACGGCTCGAGGAGCGGTCACTGCGCACGCTTGCATCGTCCGAGCCCTCAGCTACGCTGCTGGTGCTGTAAGTGGGCGAGGCTCGGCCACTGCTCCCTGCTAGCCGCACCCCCAGCAGGCTGGGAGAAGCCGGGGCGGCTCTGGCTGGTCTGGACTTGGTAGGGCTGGCAGAACTGAGACAGTTAGGCCTGCCTGCAGGGGAGTCCCTGCCGCTTGGCCCTGCCTCGTCCTTCTGGCCACTGGGGCCCCCACGGGAGGAGATGGTGGATGCATTGGAGACGATGGTCTCAGTGGACTGCGAGTGGCTCCAGTTGTCGCTGGAGGAGGAGTGCTCTCGGCTGCGGGGAGCGGCAGGGAAGTGACCCGTGGAGCGCAACGAGAGGGCCGGGCTGGCGGTGGCCAGGCTGCAGCGGCTGAGGGTGCGCACCCGGTTGCAGGACAGAGCAATGACATCCACCATGGGCGGCATGATGGCGTTGGGAATAATCTTGGAGAGGTAGGTGCCCTGTGGCGAGATGGACATGACCGGTCTCAACAGCTCGGGAGAACTGGGCTGGGTGGTCATCCAGGGAACAGCCAGGGACTTGGGCCTGGCCATAGGAGACAGCTTGGCTGCTGTCTTGTGGCCCAGCATCGAGTCATCGTAGTAGAGGCGGTTGATGTGCTGCTGGAGGGCAGCCTCTGAGGAACGGGCCTCCAGGGCCTGGAGGGAGACGCGGGCCCCCCCCTTGGGAAGGGCGGTGGTGAGCGGCTTCCCATCGACAGTGGGGATCTGGATGGCAGGGCCGGGCAACTGGCTGCCATTCACCAGTGGCTGCGGTGTCGGGCCAGCTCTGACTGCAATGCTGCCAGGACGTTTTGTGGAGTCACGCCCGTTGCTCAGGCCTGTGGGCAGAAATATAAATGGGCACCAACCGAAAACAGAACTGAAGAAGGAATGACTGGGCCAAGGCTGGACCTCCATCCCAGAAATGCTCTGCTGGCCCCCTCTCACTCAACACTGGAGGAACCCACACCAGTTCCAATATCACAGCTGGTCTAGGCACTTATGGCCATTAGCATCAGCCAGTGGTCACTTGTGTTTCAAGATGTTTTTGCCAAAAATGGCATTTACTTCTGGTTTTCAGCAAAACTGCCCCATAGTGAACTATTGGTTTGCATAACGAGAGCCACAACAAAGGTCAGTCCCGTTGGCAACCTGCTTTATGACTGTCATGACAGGTCTCTAATAGGCAGGCTCCATTATGGCCCTAAATTGAGGACTAGCTGTAATGCCATCCCCCACCCCAAGTGCTCTGCTGCAGTGCCGGCTCCCCTGGGACTCGGGGGGGGGCAGATCCCGTCCCCGTTCGGGTCCCTGGATCCCTCTTCCACGGCCTCTGCTGTTCCTGGGCCTGAGCGCGCTGAGAGCATTCGGGACGTCTCCTTCTCCAGGCTCTCTGCAACCACCCCCAGGCAGGGTCCGGCTTGCATACGGAAGGCAGGCGGCTGCTGGATGTCACTGCCCTCCGTCTCTCCCCCCTCCCCCCTCCCGGTTCACTCCTGGCCAGCAGCTTACCCAGCTCCTGCTGCACGTGTTGGGGCAGCCCCAGGACTGTGGTCCTCCGCTCTCTTCGCCGCTTTTCTCCCTTTCCAGATGATTTCGGAAAGGAATCGTGTGGTCGGAAGGTGGAGCCTGGAAGTGGCCAGGAGTGAGGAGAAATGGAGGGAAGCAAGGAAAACGGTCACCAAGCTTCAGCAGCAAAGCCTCAGCATTGATTGGCAGTTCCCCCCCAAGAGTATTTGTGCCAACATATAAAATTAAACTAAATAGATGCGTTCCACGCTTATTTTCCTTCAAAGTAAAAGGCTAATGTTGCAAAACCTGGGTCCAAAGGGGCAAAGAATTCAGACTTTTTCCTCTTGTAAGCGATTTCATAGAATTATAGATTGACGGGGTTGGACGAGACCTTGGAGATCTTCTCATCCAAGCCCCTGTCCAAGGGACCTTCTTAATTTATTACATTTACTGACTGCCCGTTTTACCACAGGGAAATTCTGGCCGGCTTACCATGTCTTATACCATCCTGTCCAGTCTCTTCTTGAAAAACTCCAGTGATGGAGCACCCACAATTCCAGGAGGCAAGCTATTCTATTGGCTAATTGTTCTCGCTGTTAGGAAATTTCTCCTTCGTTCCAGATTGGTTCTCTCTTTAAAGAGCTTCCGCCCCCCCCCCCCAGTTCTCATCCGGCCTTCTGGCGCTTTGGAGAATAAATCCATACCCTCCTCCTCGTGGCAGCCTTTCAAATATTGCAAGACCGCTATCATGTCTACCCCCACCCCCAGTCCTTCTTTTCTCTAGACTAGCCAAACCCAATTCCTGCAACTATTCTTCATATGTTTTAGTCTCTAGGCCTTTAATCATCTTAGTTGCTCTTTTTTGGAAGATGGTGGGAGATTTGCAAGATTGATGTCAGCCTGCCCAGACAGACCAGACAGGAAACATGACCAGATACGCTCATTCTACTTTCCTGTAAAGCAAGTCTAGAAGTGCGATTCTCCTGCCATCCGCTTTACAGCCCAGGAATCTCCTTTTCGGCCCCCTTTGGGGCATCTTTCTCACCCATTGTGTAGCTGCAGGCAGGCTATGCCCTCTCTCAGCTGACCGCTCCTAGGCAGCTCTCTTGGCCCCAACATTCCCCCACATGGTGTCTTCCTTTCTCTCATGGGGTTAAAGCCCCACTTCCTTCCATCCCTCTTCCGAGGGCAACTTCCACTGGCGCAGGCTGTGACGGAGAGGCTGCTACAACTGAGCTTCCCGCTGGCCCTTTCCATCTTCCGGAGGGCAAACTACCCTGGTCTCTCTGGTTCAGCAGGCGATCCCTTGGAGCCCAGAGCCTTCTTCCCTGCCCCAGGACGGTTGTGCTGGGTGGTACCTTTTCTCTGGATCATCTCGGAGCGGACAGACATGGCGTCTTCGGAGGCATCTTCTGTGGTGCACGAGGAGGCTTGGCTTCGGATGGAAATATCATCACCCTCAGTGGACTGGGAAGACTGCTTGTCAAAAGGGAGGACAAAAAAGTGAACAGTGGTTTTGGTTTTTGTTTAAACTGCATTATATTATACAAATATAATCAGAGAAAGTGAGAAAATAATTGTAAAATCAAATTGAAAATAAAGATGGTTTACAAACACTCCGATCAAAAATTGAAAAAACATTGATAGAAATCCATATTAAAATGTCTTCTGTCAGTTTGGAAACAGAAATTGGTGTTGAGAATCCATGAGCAGGTCTTAAGGCAGTGTTTCCCATCCCTGACAACTTTCAATTGGGTAGAGTTCAACTCCCAAAATTCCCCAGCCTGCATGAAGTCCACCTTCTGGCCAGGCAGGGGATTCTGGGAGCTGAAGTCTACACCACTTAAAGATGCCAAGGTTTCCTAACAAGGAGAACTTATCCTCCACCAGTGAACCTTTCTGAGAGCCCCGGAGGCTGTCTAAAGGCACTGAATCACACAGGGCAAGAATCTTGGCATCCGAAAAGCAGGACCAAATTTGCACACCAGCTGCTCCTCTTCTTTCTTGCCTTTGTAAAACAAAGAATTACGTGAGGAAGCAAGTTCCAGCCCCAGGCAGAAGCATTTCATTTGCCCACCAGACGTCTCGGGAGATTCTCAGTCATCCAGGTCACAGTTGTCCCAAAGATGCTTTTTCACCAGGCAACTGGACTTCCTTGTTTTTCTTTGAAAGAAGGCAAATGACCAGCTGCCTACACGAAGTATAAATCCTTCTATTCCCCACCATCCAGTCAGAGCTGAAGAAGCTTCTTGGAAATGTCTTCAAAGAAAAACAAGAGCACAAGTGGATGATCTCCATCTTGTCCTTATCCAGAGATGTTTCATGCTACTTATCTGCTCACATTTTAAGCCCCATCATCAGCGTCTCCCCTTATTCAGAGACATGTTAACATGCCATTCCTCTTCCAGGAGGCCCCAGAACCTTGGAGGGCTTCTTTTTCTCTCCCCCCCACTTTTTTTTCTTACGTTGCTGTAAATCTTAATATATTATTTTATTTTGATGCAATTATATTTGTAAAACATTAATTGAAGATTATTAGCTTCAAGAATGTTTGGGGTAACTTAGACTATGGAGGAGAAAGAAAGGAGAAAGAAGTATTACATCTATATTAGTTACAATTTTGGATGTCGGTGTTACTGAGAGTACGATTATTTGGTGTTTTCATCCAGAATGTGATATTACTGTACATTAGGGGGAAAATACACTGCTGATTGCATCAAGGTATTTGATACATAATCAAGGTTTTGGTCTTGGGCTAATTACATAGCATTAAGGCCTCCACTGTATTGTTACTTAGTGTTTTGTGCACAGGTTAATAAAAGAAACAATAGACAAGCAAAGCAAATTTAACATTTCTTGGAGTTGTAACACCTTCCAAACAGAGGCGCCTGGAAGAGGATGGGAGCAGCTGACTTCTGGCAAGAGGCTAAGCAGCAAAGGGAGGCCCTGGGGAGCTCCGCAGGGACAAAGTACACCTGGCTAAAGGCAAGGCAAACATTCCCAGAGATGCAGCAGGGAGGGGGACACCCCCCCCCAAAGGGTTTGGGTGGCTTCGGTGGGACGGAGTGTGTCCTAAGCCCCGTGCCCTGCCACCCCCCTTGTCAGCCTTGCATCAGGGGGCAGACAAGAACCCCCCAGCTGCCTTCCCAAGCAGCTGTGTCTGCAGGACACGCTAGGCTAGGGGTAGTCAACCTTGGCTCTTTTATGACTCGTGGACTTCAACTCCCAGAATTCCTGAGCCAGCACAGTTGAAGTCCACAAGTCATAAAAGAGCCAAGGTTGACTACCCCTGCGCTAGGCCCAAAGAACGGGGGTGCCCTAGGAGGGCAGCTGTAGTCCAGCAAAACTGGGAGGGCCCAAGAAGGGCACAGCTGCTGCTGCTACACAGGGTGTGCGCAGTATAGCGAGAGGATGTGGGGGCCGGGAGGCCGGCGGACGACTTACCTGGATACTGCTGGTCTCGCTGTGGTCCCAGATCTTCCTGGTCTTCTTCTGTTTCTCTGAAATGCAACAGGACAGACACAGCCATCGATCAGCTAGAGAAGGCCCGGAGGCCCCCAGACCATGATCCGGGGAGTCTGATGGCAGAAATGGTAACACTAGAAGCTCCCTTGAGCTGTAAGCCCCCAACCACTGGTGATCGGAAGCTGCACTGGGGGGCAGCATGAAGATGCTGGAGGTTGCTGGCTCTTTAAATTAGAGTCGGGCCCACCAGCCCTGGACTCCGCTGTGCCTCTGCCACTCGCCCAGCCGCTCTGCGCAGCTGCAGAGGATTCTGCTTGCTTGGTTTCCGTTGAGGGCGGAACCAACAGATAAATGTTTCACCTAAAGCGTGTGTGTATGTGCACAACACTCGGAGAACTGGGTATCCCCACTCAACCTAAAACAACTGTGTTGTGAAGGAAGTGGATCATGCATTTCTTCCCATCACTACCTAGATTCTGCAAGGACTTGAGTCCCGCCTGCGCCTGGATGTGCAGCTCCTCCAGATGTTTGGGGCGGCTGCTGGGGAAGAACACGTTGTCCGGCTGGTCTCCTACAGCCTTGCACTGGACGTTCAGCCGCTTCTCCTCGTTCGCCGCCTGGGCAGCAGCACCTGGGAACACAGAGGGGGAAGAAGAGACCTCAGACTGAGCAGGCAAATGAGGGTCCATTTCTCCCCCCGCGCACACACACACACACACACACACACACACAGCAGCAGCAGCAAGTGGAAGGCAGAAAAGCTCCACAGCCCTTTCCTGATCTGGGCAGGCAGCAGCTCTGCACAGGGGCAGAAGGGAAGGTCCTTCCCGTCAAGGGCTGTCCAATTTCTGGCAGGGGAGGCCAGGCCCTGAACTGCAAGTGCTCCCCCCTGCAAAAAGCCCTCCTAGGCCGAGGAAGGGTCCAATTCTTTTAGGAAGAGCCCTTTGCTTTCACTCAGGGAGTATCACCAGGCAGGTACTGCTGATGCCGCATTCATCCTGGGGAGAAGGACAGGGCGTCTCGTCTCCAGCCCAGTTGCCCTTTTGTAAGTAAACCAGGACTAACAGCCATCACTGACAAGGCAAGGGACATGAACTGTTATTAACTGCGAGGCAATCATTTTCCTTACGCTGGTGTCTTCCAGATGTGGTAGACTGCGCTAAGTGCCATTACTATGACCCAACATCTCTGGAGATACAACTGGGCAGGGCTGGTCTGTATAATGGTCCACAAAGGCTGTCCTAATCTTAATACTGTCACCAGTTCACCGTAATCAACAACTGCCAGTCCTCAACTGTGTGGCTTAATGTCTTTTAATGTTTGAGAATGCATCTGTTACGACAGATTTTAATTATGGTGGATCCTATCAACTGTAAGAAGGGGGCTTACAGCAGTATTGAATTATGCAGCAAAAGCTTTACAACTCCACCCAAAAGAATTTTGATTCAATCGAGCAAGGCTTTTGTTGCACAAGAATAGGCTCTTAATACAGCTGGACTTGTTTTTCATAGATTTATTGTGGTTTATTTCTGTCCATCTAGGACAGTGCTGGCGAACCTTTTAGATACCGAGTGCCCGAACCACAACCCAAAACCCAGTTATGTGTTGCAAAGTGCCAGGGCCGCATCAGCATCGTGGTGCCCTCAGGGGGGCGGTGTGTGTGTGTGGCCCACTGGGTGGTGTGCCTGCGGTAGTCACGGCAGACTGGGTGGGCGTGGCCGGGGTGGGCATGGCCACCTCGATGTTGCTCATGGGGGGGATGCCTGTGGGGGCCGGGCTGGGTTGGGGGAGTTGCTGGCGTGCCGCAGCCCAGTACTGGTCCACGGACTGGGGGTTGGGGACCCCTGCCCTAGTATACTGGGAGCTGAAGCCCACAGAGTGTATGCTGCATGCGGAATTCTGGGAGTTGAAGCCCACAAAACTTTAAGTTGCAGTTGCCGAGGTTGGGAAATGCTGTTCTAGCCTGGGCAGCCAGTGAGCGTCCCAGACAAGCAAAGGTCTCCCAACCAGCCCTCCTCCTTTAGGAGAACAAGCCCCAAACCCAGGACCATCCCCTGCCTCGCTTCAAAGGCCCCCTTCTATTTCCCTTCCATCCCTCGGCGACAAGCTTAGGCTGCTCCCATTCAAAGCCGACATTTTTAAAGTCTGTGCAAGGAAGAGGTGAAAGTGCCCAGGGCAGAATCACATGACTGATACCGTAACTATTACAGCACCTGGCACACACCAACCTGGCAATCCAGCTTAAAGGGCAGCACTTTTTTTTATTGTGGATTTATCTATCACAGAACTCAGCCGCTGCCAAAACAGAAAGGGAGGGGGAATAGCATGGGGGCAGAAGGGGAATCTGAGAAAAATCGGGCCAGTTTTACTTGAGGGTTTCATTTTCAAACAGAAACCACTGGCTCCAACGTCAATCATTGACCAAGACTGCCCCACCATCCAGGCAGGACTTCACTGGGGAGTTTTTCCTGGGAATGCTGAAGGCTGAAATGGGCATTTGGTAGTTGGAACCACACAGCACACTCACTCCGGTTACTGAGTTAATATATCCACCAGACCTATACCATACATTGGTCCTAACCTAATCAAACGAGCAAGCCTCACGCAACATGCCAAGCTATGAAAGGCCAGTGTTAAAACTTAGCCTATATCGGGGCATTCGACCTTTAACTGAGCTGAGCAGCCCCAAATTCTGAGCACCAGCATTGCTCTCCCACCAGGGCTTGAGCTGTGGACAAACTCACTTCTAACACAGCAAGGTGACCATGTCCAAAGACACCCTCTCGATTTGGGCCCGGCACAAGCTAACGACTGCCCAGCCATTCGGCTGTTTGTTTAAGCCATTTCTCCGGGCGGGATCTAGAGATATAAATACATCACTTTGTCACAGGCCTAAATATTCAGGGGTCACTCTGGATAGGGCCCTAACATATAAGCAGCACTGTAACAAACTGAAGGTCAATGGACGACAGAACATCCTCAGGAAATTAACCAGCTCTACCTGGGTTTCCAAACCAGCAGTCCTTATGGCAACAGCTCTAGCTCTTTGCTACTCGGCAGGCAAATGTGCCTGCCCAGTCTGGTATAAATCAGTACATGCTGGGAAAGTACACGTTGCCCTGAATGAAGCTAGCAGAATTATTACCAGATGCCTTAAACCTTCCCCTCCAGATAAGATCCACCACCAAGCCAGCATTGCCCTGCCGGCTGTTTGCTGAGAAGCAGCAGTATACAGAGAGCCTCCAGTCATCAATATTTAGACAACGCCCTCCTCTCTACGGCCTACAGCCAGCTCAGCAGAGCATAAAATCCAGGAAAAGCTTCTTTAGGTCGACAGAAGACTTTGAAGACTTTGGAAGCAGAGAGGACCTGTCGAAAGCCACAAAGAACCAACACGGGATGGAACCAACGGAGGAGCTGGCAGCCCGGTCTGACCAAATCTGGGAAGTATGGAAATCATGCAACAAACTGCACACGGGAACAACCGACCCAGAGACACCCTGAACAAATGCGGCTACCTGGTGCTCTATGCGATTGTGGTGACATGCAGACCACAACACATGTGTATATCTGCCTTTTGTATCCTGATCTGTGTACACTTGAGGACCTCACGGCAGCACGACAGAACGCAGTTATTGTTGCTAGTTTCTGGGCAAGATCTGCTTAATTTGTACATATTTTAATCTTGTATTTTACATTTTAAATTTTATGTCATATACTATGCCTTATTTTAATTGTGATGCTTCTGACAAAACAATGCACCACTTAGTGAAGTCAGGACTGTGGCTGATCTACTGACTCCACAGCTGGAGGCACCTCTAAAAATAAAGCAGCGAGCAACCGCTGACACTATGCATGGCAGAAAGCAGCAGCCCCCCCCTTTCCCCCCCAGGGTCTGGCTATATAAATTATTACATAATACATGAATCTGTATCTGATCTGCAGCGGGAGATGGTTGATGTACATTGTTTATCAAGTTCCAAATTAGCTTTTCTTTTCATGAAAGCACAAGCAAGCAGTGTTTTGATTGCATATCCCCTCCCTGGGATTGTTTCCCTTAATGTAGAAACAATTTTCTTGAAAAAACAAAAACAAATCAAATTTGATACTACAATGCTAATAGTATTTATGTCTGCATATTTTTTGTTACTTGCTTTGACGCAATCAAATAAAACACCTGGGGAGGGAGCCAAAAACCAGACTTGCGCTCCCCCCATCATCTGCACAAGACCGATCAGTCCATTTTACATTGAGGGTGTCACCCTGTTTGCGTCCATTGGGTTCCCCGCTCAAGGGCCCAAAATAAAGACTTGAAATCCAGCTAAAATAGAAAGAAACCCGAAGGAGAAGAGTCACTGTGTGAAACAATGGGCTGCCTTGAAGCCCAAGAAATCCCTTTTCACCCTGTGGTATCCAGGCGCTGTGCCATCACACACCCAGCCCTCCAAGGAATTACCAGACCGTTTTTGCCACCCACCGAGCTCTTAATAGCTGTTTGGATGCTATTTAAAAACACAACCTCCTTTTTAATCTGATCTTTGAGGAGTGCTTAGACAATTGATCACCTTGTCTGGGGTGAGATTTTACAAACCTCTCATCATCTCCCTCGGAGTTGATGACAGGCTGGAGCTTAAACCTGGGTGTTGGCTGTGCCATGGAAAGCAGACAGGGACCATCCTTGTAGTTGCCATTGTTCAGTCTTGTGTCCGGTTCCTCGCAGCCTCATGGACCAAGGCGGGCCATGCCCTCCACCCCCACCCCCACCTCCCCACCCCGTCTCCCAGGCACAACCAATCGTAGCTTTGCAAAGAGCTCCCGAGGTCTGGGAATTCTGGGGGCAAACTGGAGCAATCTGCTGCGACTCCAAAGGCAACAGACAAATGGCTGGTCTCCCCCACCCCACCCCCGACCAGCATCACCTGCTCTGACCCCAACCCCTCAGCCCCTCACAGAAGGGAGCCTCTTAACCTGGTTCTCCTAGCTGTTCAGCTGGAGAGGCCAAAGTTCAAATCTCAGGTCTGGCTCCCAGGCAGCACTCCACCTCTGGCAGGGCAGGGGTCCTCCACTTGCAGCCATCTGTCTAGCACTCACATTTGATGTTCTGGGGGAAAATGATGTAAGTCCTCGCACTTATGACCGTTGCAGCATCCCCATGGTAAGGTGATCACAGTTTGCCCATTAAGCAACCGGCATGTATTTATGATGGTTGCAGCATCCCAGGATCAGGTGATCACCATTTGTGACCTTCCCAGCCAGCTTCTGACAAGCCAAGTCAATGGGGGGGAACTTGATTTTCTTAGCGACCACATGATTCACTTAACAATTGCAGTGATTCACTTAACAGCCATAGCAAAAGGGTTGTAAAATTGGGTGTGACTCACTTACTTGCTTAGCAATGGAAACATGACTAGCCCCAATTGTGGTTGTAACTTGAGGACTACCTATATAAGGTCGAGTGCTTCTGAACCAGAGCAAGAAAAAGTGGCTCCACAGTCCTGTTCACGAGAACACTTGCAAGGCTAGAAATTAAGACCACTTAAGTGTCTTGAGGATGAGAGCATCAACTGCAACGCCCAGAAATCATGCACTTCTTGGGCTGCATCTCTTTGTGTGCCTTTTCCCTAAAAGCAAGCTAGATTTAGATGGCAGCCACCAACAAGACCTGTTTAAAGCCATAATGTGGATGAAACCAGAAGATCAGTACCATCCTGCCTATCTGAACTCCAGGAGTGACAGGAAGGTCATCTTCCCCCAGGCTGAAGGGGCCGACTTGGCATTTACTTGGTTTCCATCGCTCTCCTCTTCCCTCTCCACAATCTGCTTCTCCTTTTACAAAATCAATATTGATGGAGTCTCCCTTCCTGAGCATCCTTGCTCCTTTCTCCTTCTTCCCAGGATAAAATAGCCTGAAGCCAAGCAGAGCAAGCAAGCCTCGCCCGCCCCAGCCCCCGCCCCTCTGGAAGTCAAGGCAATTTGGGCATCAGAGGGACCCTCATCCTTCACAGAAAACAAAACAGCACTATTTTGGTTATAGAATTTAACTCGATAACGTATTATTCAGCCTCTTCCAACCTGGAACCCCTCCGATGGATTGGACTACAATTCACATCACCCACAGGCACTTGGTACAAACCACAACCATCTGAAAATGACAAAGGATGCATCACGATGCGATGACGCAATGCCACCTTTGGTACTTAATATCTGCTTGGACACAAGCAGATACATGTGTTTTGCAATGTTGCAATTCACACCATATCCTGCCTCCCTGCCTGCCCCAGTTGGTTGGCCCCCAATGATGGGAATTGTGTCCTCCAGTTTGGCAGTGGGACTTTAGCCCAGGCATCAATCCTTGGAAGGCGGCAATCAGATAGCAAAAGGTGGCTGTGCTCTTTCTGGCTTCAAGTTCTCAGGGAGCAGCAACAGGAAGACCCCTTTCCCACCTAGGGAATCGCATCCTAGGGCGTGGGCTGCACCCGGGTGCCACCACTTGGACTACTGCAACCAGTCTGCATTGGCAATCTTTGGACCCAACTGGGTCTTCACCTGGTCCAGCACCCAGTGGAAAGTCTGCTAGGATCCGCCCCTCCCTGGCTAATTTTGAAGTCCATGCAGTAGGTTCCTCTCAGGCCCAACTCAAGAGTTCCATCTGGCACTGCCTTGAGAAGTCCACCATCCTTCTGTTATTTTGAAAAGGGCTCCTTGTGAAATTCACGGACCTGGATCTTATGCAACCTGCTCCCCCAGCTGCCCAACCGACAGGACCCCCTTCTCATATGATTTTTTATTGGTCTTATTTCATCAGGCATCCACCTCTATTTGAATGCTGGGGGGGGGCATGCTTCTTTTATCTAGTGGGGGAATACATTTTTGTTTTTTCATAGCCACGTATAATCTCAGAATTACACAACTGGGGCAATTAACAAACATGTTAAATAAAACACTTTTTTTCTTCATACTTCTTTCAATACATAAATGCATGGAGCTATATTTAACTAATTATGGAATGAAAAATTGTATAATTAACTACAACTTCTTTAAGGATGATGTGGCACTGACTACTGAAACAACTTATTAAGGGAACTGAACTGACTGTAAGAGTTCTGCACGGTTGGATGTCTAAAATAGCATCTTATATCTTAAAAGTAAATCCGACACAGAATTTAACTGAATTTGCAAAACCTTTCCAGGTTACAGTTTCATATATGGATTTATATCACCTCCAAAATTTTGGTTTCGCTTTATGTACATTTTAATATGTACATAAATATCATCTATGTTCTACATTTTAATATTTTAAATTTATAAGATTTTTAAAATCAAGAGTGACTTCTAGTACTATTAATAGAATGTATGGCAGTTTATATAGTTTACAATCTTATTTTTTTTACTAAATATTGTTCCTGATATTTAAATTATGTTTAAAAGTTTTACAATGAAGTTTAACTTCTTTAAAAAAACTGCACAATATATTTAGTTACAATACATTAATAAAATTCTGAAAAACTAAAAAGAATTATGATTAACAATGCTAGAACTTTGTGCACTGCAATGCGCAGTAACCCTCACAATTAACACAAAAAGTACTTTTTTAGGGACTCAAAAGGTTGCTAACTTGTGAAATGAGTCTCAAAGGGGCTTTTTCTTTTTCAAAAGACAACTGGACTTTTTTTGTTTTTTGCTTGAAGAGCTTCTCATAGCTTCTCATCCAAGAAGCTTCACCAGTTCTATATTCCTACCCAGCTGAGTATGGCTGACCTTGAAAAGCTCAAGCCACAAAAATCCCCAGACTTGCAAAGTTATAAAGATCTCAAACAGCGGCAATGGGAAACCACCGTCGCTGTCATTAAAACTATGATTGTCAAACAAACTATGTTTATGTATCCACAAAATCACTGGGAATCCAGATTACCCGGAAAGAGATTTTACATTTATCAATCCTCCATCTCCATCACAGCAACGTAAAGGTGTGTGGACTTCATCTCCCAGAGTTCCCCAAGTAGCAAAGACGGCGAGGGAACCCTGGGAGTTGAAGTCCACGCATCTTTCAGTCACGAAGGGGGACAAACCCCGCCCGGCCAGCTTCTCCCGCTCCGGGGCCACCCCGGGGGCTTCCCAAGAGGCTGGCTGGCCTGCCGCGTCTCTCGCCGAGGAACTCCCGAAGGGGCCAAATGCACCGCAGCCAGCGCCCCGCCACCGTCGAGCGAGGGAGAGGCCGGGCAGCCCCAGGCCCACCGGAGCTTCTCCCTCCGGGCTGCCCTCCGGTCAGCGCCCACCTCCGGGGCGGCCTCTCTCCGAAGCTCCAGGGCGCCCCCTCGGCGCCTGCCCCGGGCTCGCTTCTCACCGCTGCCTCCGGCTCGCTTCCGCGGCTCGGAGGGGGTCCGAGAGCGCAGGAGCAACGCCGGACGGCCGGGCCTTCGCCGCCCTCCCCGACCAAGGAGGGAGCGGGCGGGGGCAAGCCGGGCTCTCCCCCCACCCCACGCGCGAAAAATGCCCGGCCCATCCTGGCCTCCAGCAAGCGGGGGGGGGCGGTCCGTGGCGGAGAGGCAAAGCCGGGGCTGGAAGAGCCTGGCGGGGGGGGGAGCCCACGCCCCAAGGCCGCCCTCCTCTCCCGCCCGCGCCCCGCCCGCCGCCAGAAGCCTCCGCGCCGGGGAGGCCTCCGGGCAACAATGGGGCGGCGGGCGAGGATGGCGGGGGGGGGAGAAGACCCCAAGCGCGCCGCAGCCCCTCCCACGCCCCGCTGCGCCCGATCCTCCCACGCGCAGCCCCCCCCTCCGGGCAGCGACTGGACACGCCCGCTTCCCTCGCCGGGCTGCTCCGCCGAAGCGGCTGCCGGGGAGGGCGCGGTGGGGCGCGGGAGGCGGCCGGCTCACCCTTCTTCTTG